GAACTTTACCTAAAGTAAATAGGGTTTTTTTCTAAGTCATTAGGAATAACTCATGTAAACTAACTTTCCAATACAACTCTTGCAGATCCTTATTTCATGGCATAAATGATAAGGCTGGAATTAACAACAATTGTTGATAAGATTTGATTTTTCTTCATTTCATGGGAAAAAACTTTTTTCTAATCCCTAACACCAATAGTCTCTATCATACTAAACAGTAAACACTAAATATTCTGTTTCTTCAGGGAAAACAAATTTTTCACTATATTTTTCATGTGCACACATACACATGTATATATAGACTTTTAAACTTTTTAAAAATCTAATTGCAAATTTGGGCCCACATCAAAATTTGTTTGCCCACTAATTAGTGAAAAAAATTTTTAATTCCACTTTCCCAGCTGACCCTAATTTATAGTAAGCCCTAAAAATTTTTTTCACGGATAGAATTGCATAAATATCAATGTATATTCTTAAATTTAAAAAAATTTCCAAGACAAAGAAGTTTGTTTCACCTTTCTAAAATCTTTTAAGTCACAAAAACTTTAAAACACGTGTTTTGTTTTTTTTTCATGGGTTTTGTGAAAGAAAAAAAAAAATCTGAAAAAAAATTCAGAAGGACCTACCTACCCTATATTTTTCCTGTGTTTTTATCACACCTTCAGATTCACGAAAAAAAATACGCATTTTGATCATTTTTTTTTAGAAATGCCATGTGTTTCTTTTCCATTTTAATATTATGCACAACAGAACTTATATAAATTTGAAGTAGAACTCTTCTGTTCTGTTAATGAAGATTGATATGGTTATTCAATGTTCATATATAGAGCATGTACATTTTCATTCACAAAATAAGAACAGTATTTTTTGGTTATTTGGGCTCATTGACCAGTCGATGCCTCATTGTGCCCAACACAATTACTCAGATGCTTTATGTACAAGTACTTCTTACTGCTAATTTAAAAGCACTTCATTACGAAATTATTGAGAGAAAAAAATACATTCAGACAAAATTGAAAAACAAATGTTTACAATCATACAATTTGAACTGCCATGTGTGCAAGTTGAACATAGTTCTAAGTTGGCCGTGAAACATTACTGGAAAATTGCAAGTCATCAACTGTTATTTCAAACTCTGATATAATCTACTTAACAGTGCATCATGATGTAAATATAATGCCGTCAACATTCAATAAGTTATTCCTAAAAAACAATTAGTTAGAATACTTAATATTTATTAAATGCCATAAAAAAATATTAAACATGAAAAAAAAACATTCAAAAAATTTAAGATGTGTTTGTTTAACACTATGCTCCAGAACAAAGTTCAAAAATATATTTTTAGCATAAATGGTCACAAAAGGTACAAGGTCAGTTTGTCATTTGAAAGAACTCATTCGTTGGAGTATGCAACCAAATTTGAAGTCCATCTCTCTCCTATGGTTAAAAGTTATGGCATGAAAGTGTAAAAAGCTATTTTTAGCATATAGGTTCACAGTAAAGGTCACTGATCATTGACCTTGTCATTGTTTGTGACTTTATTATTGCAGTACTGCAGTTAAACTTGTTTTCAGCATATGAAACCCTATCTCCTATGGTTCAAAAGTTATGACAAACAGTGGAAAAAGCTTTTTTAAATATAGCACAGTCAAGGTCACAAGGTCATGACCTAAAGTCCTTTGAAAACTTAATAGTGGATATACATATTCAAATATAAGTCATGTCTCTTTATCATGGTTCAAAAGTTATGGCAAAGGTTAAAGTTTTTTTTGTCATGGTCAAACAGATAAACAGACAGGACAAAAACAATTACGCCCGATCTATCGAAGAAATTATCATGATTCTTACCTTTAACCATGCATTAAATTTATTGCAACATAATTCCCTTGACATACAATTGTACAGTTGAATTAAATTTGAAACTGAGAGTGCAACAATACTAGAAGGTATATGTTTATTTTTCCACGGTTAAATTCACAATACATCAAACTGATATCACAGCTTGGTTCAATCGGTCAGTATTCATATAATCATCCAAAACTCATTGTTTTGTCAACAAATTGCAGACACCGCATTAAACTTGTTTTCAGCATATTTTAAACAAATACTTAACTGTCGAAAGAATCACTTTCCTAGTTTTATAAAAATTATTGAAATTAAAAAGGCAAGTGATAAAGCCTTTAAAACCAATAGCATTAAACAGTTATTCACAATATTTCATGTGTGTATTTATCAGGTTGGGAACATATGTAAATCGTATAAAGAATTCAATAGTGTTACAAATCGTATTGTGGGAACATAATCGAAGCAAACATACAAAATGATTTGTAAACAGGTCTGGTACAATCACTTTTGAGCTATTTTAAATTACCTACATACCTTTATTTATACCAAAACTTTCTTGAATTGTAATTTTTCTCATGATATGCAGAAAATCACACTTTTGATGCAGTGATAATTTAGCTTTAAACTAATTTGAAAACAATACATGGAAAATATTATAACTTAAAAATGTGGCTCTTTTTCACACAAGGTGGACATTTACTCAAAAAATAGAAATTCTAAATTTGCAGCAAGGTTAAACTATTGATGCATTTGTACAGTGATTGCTTTTTTAAACATCCTTTAGTATATTAATATTCAAGTGCAGCGAATGTGGTGCAAAGTGCCAATCGCATATGAATTGAATACATTGATACGAATCGTAGAAAATGTGGGAAACGTATATCGATGCATTTGTTCCAAGAGAAATTTACGAGTCCATGTGAAAAAAATACAAACTCCCAGTGCATAGCAACATGGTGGTTTAAACATTATACATAGCAATGACTTGTCCACTTGAAAAAAAAAATAAATGTTTTAATGCAATTTTCAGCCACAAAAATTATTGCCACTTAAACCACTCAGGTATTTTCAAATTTGTCAGAAACATTTGAGAAGTTATAGGAATCTTGATCCAGATGTCTGTGATTTTTTTTCTTGTTATGCATTTAATTCTTTTTTAAATGAACTGAGAATAGGCAGTGCAAGTAAAATCTGTGTATAGCCTATAGGTTTTTGAGAGTAAATAACTGTGCTCGCCCAAACAGTGACATCGTAAAACATAATAGTCATATACTTGTAATTTTTTTGTTTTTATTATAATTAAAATGAAAAGCAAAATTGTGCAAATTTGATTTAAATAATAGTAAGCTACCTGGGGTAGGTAAATAAAGCTAAGGTACATAATATTCTACTTACAACAATCTACTGATTGTACTGGACCTGGTAATTAGATATTGGAAGTTTCTATGGACCTACCCCAATACTTCGTTACACGGATAAACAGGTTGGGCACAGTTCCTTTTTTGGGTAAGTATTACTATAAAAGGGAACTATTACTCTTTGCAGTAATAAAAAAACATTACTCAATTCGGGCATTTTTGTCACATTTTTAAAATAATGCCTCTAATCCATTTAATAAATAAAAAGTGCATAAAAAATACGATGTGATGTGTTAAATCTTTATCAAACAAACCTCGCTGACCGCTAATACTTCCCCGAAAAAGGAACTGTGCCCAACCTGATAAACCATCATGTAAAAATAAAATGCTACTTGTATCGGGATAAATCTAACTAAATATATTCAACTTCTTTTTAAAACCATATCAACATAGTTAGGGAAAAACAATAAGACATATTATAACACAATAGAAATAAATTTATTAGGCCTACAAATTCGGAAAATGTGCAACGTACTTGACTAGTTCCACTTTGATGTCGCCACTTTAACTTCGTGACGAATGGAATCATATCATTCGCGAAAACAAATAAATTTCAATCTTATAAAACGCTATAACTCATACCCACCGTTCCTGAAACAAAAATATAAACACAGGGAAAGCGTAACTATTAGAAAGACGAATATATCCTCAGGCTCAGTCAGTGAAGTCTTCCTTCAAAATGGACGCTCGACAATGCGCATGCGTATTTGTCTAAATGACGGAGGCGTGTAAACAAACATGACCATTCCGGGATTGTTTTAAAATTCAATCAACTTTTAAAAGGACTTTTGACTCGTGGACACATTCAAAATATATACATATATAAATCAATACACAAACAATTCGAAAATACCAATCAGAAATTTTTAGGATTTTTTTTCAAAGAATTTATAATGTAACAACACATATATAATCAATGGAGCCCCACCCTAACACCAGAACCCCTGACCCAGGGGCCGTGAAATTTACAATTTTTGAAGAGGCACTCTTGATCATCATAACTATGTACTTGGTTCGTTTGTATATAACCCAGGAGCAGAGGAGTAGATTTTCAAAGTATTAATGCACTTTTACTATATGATATATAGCCCCGCCCTAACACAACCCCTGACCCTGGAGCCGTGAAATTCACAATTTTGAAAGAGCCACTCTTAGTCATTATAACTATGAACTTGGTTTGTTTGTTTTACACCCAGGAGCAGATGAGAAGACTTTCAAAGAATTAATGGACTTTTACCATATGATCTATATAGCCCCACCCTAGCACCATAACCCCTGACCCTGGGGCCATGAATTTCACAATTTTGGTAAAGGACTCAAAGCTAATTACAATCATGCAAACAATTTGACTGCTTGATGTCCAGGAGTGAAGAAGAAGATTTTTAAAGATTGCATTCATTTTAGTAGTTTTGGCCCCACCCCTCAGGCCCCTGGGGGGCAGGGACCATGAAATTCAGAATTTTTGTTCCCCTTCACCCATAGATGCTGTACACTAAATTTGGTTGTAATTGGTTCAGTGGTTCCAGAGAAGAAGCTAAAAATGTTCAAAAGTTTACGAACGACGTACGACGTACGACGTACGACGACAGACGAAAACGGATAGCAATAGGTCACCTGAGTTTACTCAGGTGACCTAAAAATGTTAATCTTAATTTTACTTCTTACAAGAAATATTTTATCTTAAGCTATTTGCTGTTTAACTTTGACTGAAGAAATTATAATTTCTAAGATACTTACCTGGATTTAAAAATGGCAAATCATAGGTGCAGGGTCTCTTTGGTAACAAAGTATTGTTGAATATAACCACAGAGTATACACAGTTTGTGGGATCAGATGACTCCAAACAGACACTAAGATTCATGTTCAGAAGGTATTTTCTCTCCATAACTAGGTTCTGGATGTTGAAGCTAGGGAGTAAAAATCACATACATGAAGCCTTTCTTATTCAACATACATTGGAAGACAAATTTTTTGTCAGATTGTCAGATAGAAACAAGAGGTTCAACAGCCATAATGGTCAGCAATTTATATATACCAAAAGAAAACCACCTCTATAGAATGTGGTCTCATCTCTGTGACATAAATCAGAGAAATGATAGTGCATACAGTTTAAATTCATTTGACATTTTATATTCCTGTTGTTCTTGTGAAAACAAGAGGCCCATGGGCCACATCGCTCACCTGAGAAATGTTGACCATTCTGTTCTTTACCAGATTTCACCCTTGTTATACATAATGCATCCCTACCCTACCCCACTGATCATAATTTAGACATTTTGAAATCTACACTACCCCATGATCCTTCCATGGGCACATATGTTTCAGCTTTTTTGGCCCAGTGGTTCCTGAGAAGAAGATTTTCAAAGATTTTTCCTATATATTTCTATGTAAAACTTTGATTCCCTATAATTGTCCCGCCCTTCCCCTGGGGGTCATGATTCCTACAATTTAGAATTTACACTACCCCAGAATGCTTCCACATAAGCTTCACTTTTTTTGGCCGAGTGGTTCTTGAGAAGAAGATTTTCAAAGATTTTTCCTATATATTTCTATATAAAACTTTGATTCCCCTTTGTGGCCCCGCCCTTCCCCCGGGGGTCATTATTTGAATAATTTAGAATCTACATTATACCAGGATGCTTCCACATAAGTTTCAGCTTTTCTGGCCCAGTGGTTCTTGAGAAGAAGATTTTCAAAGATTTTTCCTATATATTTCTATATAAAACTTTGATTCCCTATAATGGCCCAGCCCTTCCCCCGGGGGTCATGATTCCTACAATTTAGAATTTACACTACCCAAGAATGCTTCCACATAAGTTTCAGCTTTTCTGGCCCAGTGGTTCTTGAGAAGAAGATTTTCAAAGATTTTTCCTATATATTTCTATATAAAACTTTGATTCCCCATTGTGGCCCCGCCCTTCCCCCTGGTGTCATTATTTGAACAATTTAGAATCTACCCGGTACATTATACCAGGATGCTTCCACATAAGTTTCAGCTTTTCTGGCCCAGTGGTTCTTGAGAAGAAGATTTTCTAAGATTTTTCCTATATATTTCTATATAAAACTTTGATTCCCCATTGTGGCCCCGCCCTTCCCCCGGGGGTCATGATTTGAATAATTTAGAATCTACATTATACCAGGATGCTTCCACATAAGTTTCAGCTTTTCTGGCCCAGTGGTTCTTGAGAAGATTTTCAAAGATTTTTCCCATAAAATCTTTGATTCCCCATTGTGGGCCCGTCCTACTCCCAGGGGTCATAATTTGAACAATTTAGAATCTACATTATACCAGGATGCCTCCACATAAGTTTCAGCTTTTCTGGCCCAGTGGTTCTTGAGAAGAAGATTTTTTAATGACCCCACCCTATTTTTGTCTTTTCTTGATTATCTCCCCTTGCGAGGGGATATGTCCCTTCATTTTAACAATTTAAATTTCCCTTTACCCAAGGATGCTTTGTACCAAGTTTGGTCAAAATTGGCCCAGTGGTTCTTGAGAAGAAGTCGAAAATGTGAAGTTTACAGACGGACAGGAGGACGGACAGACAGACGGACGGAAAACGGACAAAATGTGATCAGAAAAGCTCACAGGTGAGCTAAAAAACAACATTTAAATATATTTTTGGAATTCTTTGTCTGCTTCGGCCTTCTTTAGAAAAAGTTGAGGTATTTCTTTAGAATGCCTTGCGTTAAGTTTGGTGGAATTTGACTTGTATTTGTTCAAGAGAACTTTAAAAATGTTCAAAAGTTTAAAAAATAGAATACATAGACTGAAAAACATATAATGGAAGATAAAAAAAGAAACCAATTGGCCATACAAGTGCCTTAAATTGACCTTGAAAAGATTTCTCTAATTCTTTACTCACTCTAATCTGATGGCTCCTTGCAATGTGAAATGATCAGTTTTTCCAAAATCATAATCAAACAGAGTAATGTTATACTGCATTTTCTCAATGTTTAGACTCATGATGGATTCACAGGGATCCATGAGGACTTGTACATTGATGGAATGACCACTAAGGTAGGCTACCTCAGCACAGCAGTCTATACTGGTACAGGTGTTGGGGATGTGGCAGGACACTGAACTGGGTAAAGCAAGAAGCACTGGGATACTGGGACAATCTAAAAATATTAAAGACCATAATGCACAAATACATATTGCAGATGAAAGGAAGTTCCAAATGAAATCTAGATGGTATGTCTGTAATATCACAGCTTTAAATGAAATTGGATTATCTGGATGTAATAGAATTTATTCTTGCATAAAAAATAAACTAAAGTGGTGTTTTACTCCACTGAAGTTTGAAAGATATCCACCCATTTCATAGTATTGCTATGTACTACCCATATAAGCAAGGTTCAGTAAAGTTTGGCCTAATCAATTTTCCGTTATCCTAGAACATCCTACCATTTCTCCATCCCTGAAGATTTGGATTATATGTTACAGCTGAATTATTGCATTTATCTGAGCTCTTCAAGAATTCCAACATTTCTAGTTTTGATAACAATGAGTTGACAGCAGTGTCAGGAAGAAATGAGTCTGGGTCAAAACCACTTTCAGTTAACCAGGTGTTCAAAGAGAAATCTGAAAGTACAAAAGGAGTCTATAATTCACCCATTCAATAATTTATAATCAAATTTGTCACTTTTACCATGAAGAATCACCTGATATAAACCCAGTGCCCCATTCACACAGAGTTTTAGGCAGTCTGATATTTTGAAGAAGGTTTATGGTATCTAAATCACATGGTCCAACTCCATAGCAAATTCTGATACTGGCTGTAATTCTGTAACTCTTCTCAACAGGAACATCATCCACCTTAAATCTATTTAAAAAAGTAAAACCCTAAGAAAAAATATGTTTACAACTGCAAACAAAAAGTGCAACAGTTTAAAATTTTCACTTCAAAACTTACTCGAACTGAACTACACTCATCAGGTATCTTTTTTCTGTAATACCTAAAAGTAATCATAGAAAATATTAATCATTCCAAAATGAGTCAGAAAAGCAGTCTGAAAAGGACATTTAAACTGACAGAAAAATTCATTTATGTTCTTGATTTAATGTCTATCACTTTTCTAGAGCCAAATTATTCAACTAGTCAATGACTGAAATTAACATTTTGTGCATATTTGTTTTGAATACTTTAAAATAATTAATAGTGTTAATAATATTTTGTATGATAATGGTGATACTGTTTATCAAGTTAAAACACTGAAGCACTTACCAAAGGCATATCCATTTAAATTAATGTCAATACTCAGTCTTTCTATTTGAAATTTCAAAATATGGTGGCAGTCATCAAGTTTGACTCCCACAGTAAAATGGTGCCTCAGTACAGAATCTTCTGCCACACAGCATGTCACTCCTGTACAGTAGTCAGGGATGTTACATCTTGTTGAAGATGGAAGAGTTGGAAGAGAGGCATTCAGGTCTACCTTGCAATCTGGTAAAAAAAAATTGTATGCTTTGTTTTAAAGCAAAGTCCTTCTATTTTTAAAAATCATCTTTTTACTTTCAAATCTTTAATCAGAACATACCATTGGGATATTGGCAACTTAATCAATCCTTATCAAGAGTTACAACATCCAGAAGTCTTTAATGACATTGTACATCTACTGGTTTGTAACAATAACTAAGCAATTACATGGACTTGAGAAACTATTATAATAGGAATAAATAAGATAGTAATCCTAATTTCAGTATTTTTATGAGGAAAGTTTCCTAGCAGTTTGACTAAAACTGTAAGAAAAGTAGCCTAGATTGTGAAAGAATTTCTCTCTTTTTTTTTTTTTTTTAAATTTATACAAAACTTTAGGAACCATTGCAAAACCAATTCTAAAATTTGTTATAATGAATAAAACTTCATTAAAATGAATTAATTTGTTATAATAAATTAAATAATAACATATTAAATTTGTCTTTATGAATTCAAAGAAATTATTATAATGAGCTATATTCAATTTGGTTATAACAAATTCTAAAATTTGTTATATATTAAATGCAAACATATTTTTTTGATATGTCCTAAATGGGCTTCTGTAGTGGTGCTATCTTCAATAATTTTTTGATAGTAATGGCACTATACATATTGCTCATCTTTAATATTTTTAAACGTCCTGTATAATTAATATCAGTTAAGTCTGAAACCTCTCAAAAAGTGTAATCATTTAAACTAACCATTTTTCCATTGTTTGTTGTTAGCTGGATGGTATGTTGTGGATGTGAAGGAACATGAATCTTTGTTAAGGTATGACCTTACACCCAGCTTATCCAAGAGAGCATCCCTGTTTAACTGTGAGAGAACAGAACCATGAGGAAGTGAAACATCTTGGTACCACTTTGTCAGATTAAAATCTGAAAAATAAAAGGGTATCATTTAGCTCAAAATCTCATTTAACACATATAATAATCAGTTGAACTTTGATATCTCCAACATTGATATACGGAATAATGTTAATTAATTTGAAAGTGTCAATTTAACTGTCAACCACTTATTCTTTTCATATTTTACACTCTATATTTGGAATCCATGGATATCTTGAAGTTTTTTTTCTTGGTCCCATCAAATTTGAGATAATTAGATTTCAAATTGATTATTCATTGCTTAATAATGCTTAGCACTCACTTGGAGTTGAGAATTTCTCAGTCCAGTTACATATTCCCTTGGGTAGAAGTGTATCTTTGAAGATATCAATACTAATGGTACATTCTTTGTCATCTGAAGCCTCAAAACAAGCTTTCAAGGCCACGGACACTTTGAATTGTCTTTCTGTTTTCATATCTTCTATCTTGTAACTAAATCAAATTAATTTAAGATATAAGAATAATAAACTCAAAATTGATCTTAGATATGTGAATAAATTCTAGGTGCCTTGTAAATGAACAGCACTCTACATTTCCTTTTTTTTGAATTGAAAGTTAAACATGAAATATTTCCAGGTGTTTGATAATTTTAAAGTGCAAAAAAAAAATTTAACTTACTCTATCCGTACTACACTGTTCAAATAAAAATTCTTCTCAATCCCTGAAAAAATACATGGCAATGCGTAAATGAAAGGAAAATGCAGTGTTATAGAGAGTTCACAAAGAATACTATGAGAATCATACAAACCAAATGAAAAGTCATCCATGCTTATGTTAAAGGACAACATTTCAATGCTGACCGATATCCAGTGATTACAAGCATCCAGTATGACAGAGGTTTCAAAAGACCTCTGTAGAAAGTCAATGTCCATACAACAACTGACAGCAGTGCAACTGTCCTTAATTAGACAAGAAACTGGGGCTGTGATTGGGTTGGTCAACACCTCCATCTGACATTCTTTAAATAAAAAATATCTTACATGAACTTCATAATATCTCTATAGGTCTTCTTTTTCATGTCAGAATTTACTAATAAAAAGTAATGTGAAAGAAAGCTTATCTAAATGAAGAAATTTACTGTTTGTTTAAAAATAGAAGTTTACACTAGGTACCTGATTTCCATCCATTAACATGTGGGCTATATACTGGACCTGCTCTCTGACATGATACTTTTTGTATGTACTGAGCAATGCCTAGTTCCTCCAGCAGCTTACTAGCAGCAAGTTCTGACAATTGTGAACCAATGCTTACCCCATTGTTACTATACCACTTCCTCAATGAAAAATCTGTTTTGAAAATAAAACAAGACTTTACAGATAAAAATTGTTGACATAGTACATTCATGTACTTCAAAAAAAATTGTTAAAGTAATGATATAGAAACCATAAAGTTTGAATGAGACCTTTTAGTATTTACTATTGAAAGCAATCCGTTTTAAAATTATAAAATTTATAATGAATAAAGGGAAATGAGATCTTAAAAACCAACCTGGAATTGTGTAAGGAAGATCCCAGTTACATCCAGGTTTACGAATAATCAGTCTATCCAGTAGTTTTACATCATATAAACATGTGTTTCTTTCAAAGCAGATCTTAAGTTGCAAAGACATTTCCAACAATGTCTTGTTCACTTTATCAATCTGAAATCTATTAAACATAAAATAAGAAACATTTTTATCATGTTTGTATTCTATATAGTTACTAAAAATCTGTAAGACATGAGCATCTAGGGCATTCAAAATGGAAAAGGTGAATGAGAATTCTTTTATTAGTTTGAATGATGCACACTAAAGTAATGTTTTATATAATAAGTTCTAAATCTGCACCTATTCAATTTTACAGGAAATATAACAAAAGGCCTAGGGGCCAAATTGCTCAGCAGAACAAGAAGCGAGGGAATAGCAAAAATCAGTTCAGAATGAAAAGATTAAATATAAGTCAAGGAGGGGGTAGGGGATTTGAACAAACTTAGATCTATACTTCCTGAGTTGGTTTTAAATTAATATGACACATATTTTTATTGATATATATCCTTATATTTCTTGGTATATTATAACCCAGCCAATTTAATTGCTCATCTGTTCTCCTGGTTGGTCATAATTTTTATTTTAAATTTAATTGTAATCCTACTGAAATCTTTGATCACCTATTACACACGGCCCCAACCTTGCTCCAGGGGTCATGATTTGAACAAACTTGTATCTACACTACTAGAGGATATGCTTCCATATAACTATACCAATCATGACGTTGCTGTTCTTGAGAAGGAGACTTTTAAAGATTTTTCCTAGGTTTTCCTAAGTTATACTTTGATCTTTCACTGTGCCCCCACCCTACCACTAGGGGTCATGATTTGAACAAACTTGAATCATCACTACCAGAGTTTCATCTTTCCTGGCCCATTTGTTCATGAGAATTTTTTTTAAAAAGAATTTTCCTTTGTATTTCTGTCAAAATTTGATCCCCCCACTGTAGCCCAATCCTACTCCCAGGGGTCATGATTTGAACTAACTTGAATCTACACTACATAAGGATGATTCCATATGAGTTTCATCTTTCCTGGCCCAGTGATTCTTGAGATTTTTTTTAAAAGATGCCATTATTTGTTCACTAATTCATAATTATCTCCCCCTTGTAAGAGGGTGTGGCCCTTTATTTGAACAAACTTTAATCCTCTTTACCAAAGGATACTGTTTGGCTAAAATTGGCTCAGTGGTTTTTTAAAAAAAATGAAAATCTGAAAAGTTTATGACAACAACAACAACAACAGATAAATTTTGATCAGAAAAGCTAACTGGAGCCTTTAGCTAAGGTGAGCTAAAAATGTTCTTACTCTATCTGGACTACATCAGTCAGTCGAAAATGGTCCAGCACACCTACAAGAGAAAAAATGTACAAGAAATGTTTGCCCTCTTCTCCGAAATAATTGGAATTTTTTCTAAGTCCAAGGGACATAACTCTGTCCAAAATGACTTAATCGTATCCCAAAAAAAACCTGACCTAGGTATTCTTATGATAAATCTGTATAGCAAATATCATTTTGATATGTGTAACCTTTGCCAAGAAACTGAACGGAAACTGCAAATTATTGCGTTTTTCTAAATCAAAGGGACATAATGCTGTCCAAAAATGGCTCGATCTTAACCAAGATAAAACCTGACCTAGATATTTTAATGATAAATCTGTATACCAAATTTCATTTCACTATGTGTAACCTCTGCGAAGAAAATGAACGGAAACTGCAAATTATTAGAATTTTTCAAAATTGAAGGGACATAAATCTGTCCAAAATGGCTCAATCATACCCAAAACAAAACTTGACCTAGAAATTTTTAAGGTTAATCTGTATATTACAAAATTTCAATTCAATATGTGCAACCTCTGCAAAGAAAATGAACGGAAACTCATGAAGGACTGACATACAGACTGACAGCAGCAATGCAATATGCCCTCCCTTCTTAATAGGGGGGCATATAAATATTTTGTAAACTGGGATTGGCAATTGAAAGGTTGCATCAAAGTTTATTTTCTAACTAATGCCTTAGTCAAATTTCCCGGCTGGTGGCTGAAGACCGTTGGTAATCCATGTTGTAGGCGATGCCCCAACATCAGTCCCTATCAACCTAGTAGTCCTTAAAGTATCAGTCACATTATCCAGCGATGGGGTAAACGATTGTCATCCAATGCATTTTTGATAAAAATGGCATGGTTGCTTACCGGATTTAAGTATCAGTCACATTATCCAGGGATGGGTATATGATAAGAAACTGATGCGTTTTTTGATAAAAATGGCGTGGTTGCCGGCCAGACATCTATAGTAATCGGACGATGATTGAGGCCATTTGGCGAATAGGTGGGGGTCATCTGTAGAAAATAAGTTGTAGTTAAAAATCAGCAATGTCTCACCGATGCCTCATCTGAGGTCATCGGGGGTTGAGTGGTGGGCAACAGACAGTGACCGATCATCGGTCGATGAACGACCAAACATTGGCCCATAGTCAACGATGTAGGAACAATGTTCATCAATGTATAAGCGATGTAATATACATTAGCCGATTGCGCTGAAACATCATTTTATGATTAGAAATACATCGCTGATCTTTTGCAAGTCTGGACCACTCGTTTTATCAAAAATTTTTTAGTTTCCCATCATATACCCCATCACAGAATAATGTGACTGATACTTTGAGGACTACTAGGTCGATGTGGACTGATGTTGGGGCATCACTCACACCATGGATTTCGACTGATTACCACCGGTCTACGGCCACCGGCTGGGAAATGTGACTAAGGCATTACAAAGACCCAGCTTTGCCTTGCTGATCATAAAAAGATGTTTTAGGGTAATTGGCCGATGTATAATATATCGCTCATACATTGGTGAACATCATTCGTACTACGGTCGACTATGGGCCAATGTTTGAAAATCAACCGATGATCAGCTGATGGGCAATCAATGCATTTTTGATAAAAATGGCGTGGTCGCTGGCTGGACTTACAAAGGCCCAGTGACGTATTGCTAATCATAAAACAATGTTCAAGTGTAATCAGCCAATGTATATTACACTGCTCATACATAGGTCAACATCGTTGGTAAGTCGTTTGACTATGGGTCAATGTTTGGTCGAACATCAACCAATGATCGCCCCATGTCTGTTGCCCATCACTCAACCCCCGATGACCTCAGATTCAAGGTACACTTGACGATGCTCAGCCAAACATCGGCCAATCCTTGAAAGATGTGTTAATGATGGGTTGCCAATGAGGAGCGATGTGGGACATCGGTTGAGACATCACTGATTTTTAACTACAACTTCTTTTCTACCGATGACCCCCACATATTCGCCAAATGGCCTCAGTCACCGTCCGATTAGGTGTCCATCCGGCAACTGTGTCATTTTTATCAAAAAATGCATTGGTTTCTCACTGTATACCCCATCGCTTGGATAATGTGACTGATACTTATACATCACTGGCATTGGTCAATGTTTTAATGAGCCAGAAAAGATTGAAAAGGATGGGATATTTTGGCGGTGGTTTGCAACTATAGAGATCAACTTAGGTGACCTGAAAACTTGCTACATAGTATCATACTGATATATCCTGTAGAGACACATTAAATGTGATTCTACACTAAGTAAGCACCTATTTTTACAAATATCAATTACCATATGAATAAGAGAAGAGTGTCCTCTCATAGACATAGTTTTCTATTCCCACTTTTAGTGTCTGTAGACAAAGGTCAAGGTCAAGGAAGAAGTGAATGGTTTGTTGTAGAGGGTCCTGTAGATCTAGACAGCATTCTATAGCTGTACACTGACTCTTTATGTGGCAGCTCAGGGGTGCAGCATTAACAATTCCTTGAACAAACCCTAAAGCTGATGGACAATCTGTCATTTATAAAATAAAATGAAATTTGTTATTATTATATATACAATGTGATGTTCTAAGCTTAAGTTCAAATCTGGGCTTTGACAAACTATTATATTACAAACCTATTTTCCAGCCCTGATTATTGAGAGATTCTGGTTTGTATACAGATGACATTCTATTGCATTGTTTATCTTTTGGCAGGAGAAAGTTTGTGATTCCTAGTGCTTCCTTTAAGATGGAAAGTTGAGTAGCTGAGAGTGATGAACCAGGAGAAAGAGACATGTTCCTGTACCACTTCTCAAGGGAAAAATCTGAAAATAACATCAACATCATATAATATTCAATGTTTTTAAAATCTGAAGACAATCACATAACTATAAAAGGCAAGACTGAGCCTTGCAGGCAAAACTGCTCGATTGCTTCAAGAACATTGTAGACTGCACTAGACCAGTTTTATTTAGAAAAAAATCTGAGGATGCACCTGCATCTCCCTCAGTGCCCCATGTACATGTTAACAAAAATGTAAAATTTAGACCATTGCCGTACATGGTACCATTTCAGCCTACTGCAAACCAACTTTTATTCGCGTGCGAGAAATATTCACGAGTTTTGCAACCTACATAAATTTTCAAATATTTCTAGCCGTGAACCATTTATTTTGCTGCGCCTGGGTAGAGAATGCTTCCTCAGTTGCGAAAATTAATGGGGGGTCATCGCAAAATGATTTCAAATTGACAAGTTGCAAATAAAAGATGATGTGAATAATAGTTGGTTTACAGAATTTGCAAAGAATTGAACAAATTCTGAAAATAAGATAACATATTTCTGAGAGAATACTTTATGAGAAATCATCAAGTCACATTCATTGTATAGCAATAAACTTACTTGATAAATTCATTGACCAGTCACATCCAATTTTTGGTAGGTGTAGATCCTTAGCTATATCCTGTGAAAACACACAGGATTTGTTTTTCTCTAAACACACCTCCAACTTCATGTTAACCACATATTTAGCATCTTCAACAAGGTCCTCTACACTGTACCTTTAAAGATAATTTTAAAGAATTTTTTGTAAACAATAATTGTACCTATTTCTTTCAGTTACATTTTAAAGCCCAATGCATATCACACGGACACTAACTCTGCTATACTTACTCTAATTTGATAAGGTCTTGCAACCAAAACTTGCTTTTTGTCCCTAAAAAACCAACAGGGTCATTCTTATTATCATTTTGAAGTTCCACATTTATTTATATCATATTTACATTAATGATTAATACCTTAAAATTTTATGTTCATGCTTTTCAGTTAAAATCTCAGAGTATTCAATACCAATTTGAGCTAATTGGCTTGAGTGATGAACAAAAATTATACAGTCATGCAGTTACTGATTACAGTATTAGTTTTGAAAAGTTTTTCCAAAATATTGAAGTCCAATAACCATAGCTCCTTTATTTATAACAATAAACCCCCTAATTTACAAATAATGTACCTCATTACAGTCTACTTTCATACCAAAATTTATTGAAATTGGACAAGACTAAAGAGTTAATTTTGAAATAATTTATAGAAATTTCTTTTTTCTGTAAACCTTAATTACATACAGGTCAACGACAATTTGTCACTTTTATCTACAACAGATTATCCAAAAGTTTGAGGCCTTGCGCTAGCATTAAAACAGTTTGAGGTACATCGTTGAATTTTACACATTTAGTTAGCATCACCTTTTCTATCTATAAAATAAACTGCAAACCATAACATTATATCTCTATAGAACATAGTAGTAGTATCTTTATTGACATATACATTACTTATATTGCCACAAACCTTTCTTATTTCATAGAAAAATTTGGTTATACAAATATTTGTTACCTAACAACTACAGAACATCTTAATAAATAATATTTACCATATTTGTAGGTAAGCAAATTGATTTTGGTTCTATATTCTTCAATGCCTATGACCATGGTTTTCTGGCATGGGTCAATATCAATATATGCTTCAAAGTTTCTCCCTACTGCAGTTACTTCCAAACAGCAGTGTATTTCAGTGCATTTCTTAGAAATAGAACAGAAAACTGGAAGCCCTGCAAACTCTAGGTTTCTGGATAAAGAGTGTTTGGGACAATCTACAAAATGAAATTAAATCTACGTTATCTTTATTCAAATATACAACAACAAAAAAATAATAATAATGAATATAACTAGAACTGTCCAAACGGGACAAAATACCTCCCGCTGGGTTTTTCAGAAGTAAGTTTTTCCATAAGAAAGATATGTATCAAACATGAATTATGAAATTTTTCTTCCAGTGACCTTGGAGTTCCCCAAATGACCTTGGGTCAAGGTCATGACACACCCTTGGGTCATGGGCAATCTTTGTGTGAAATCAGAACCTACCAAGTTTATCCATAAGAAAGATATAGACCAGACACAAATTATGAAAATTTTCTTCCAGTGACCTTGAATTTCCCCAAATGACCTTGGGTAGGGGTCATGACACACCCTTGGGTCATGGGCAATCTTTGTGTGAAATGAGATCCTACCAAGTTTATCCATAAGAAAGATATGGACCAGACATGAATTATGAAATTTTTTTTTCCAGTGACCTTGAACTTCCCCAAATGACCTTGGGTCAAGGTCATGACACACCCTTGGGTCATGGGCAATCTTTGTGTGAAATGAGAACCTACCAAGTTTATCCATAAGAAAGATATTGACCGGACACAATCCCCATATGACCTTGGGTCAAGATCATGACACACCTTTAGGTCATGGGCAATCTTTGTGTGGAGTAGTAGATTCTTATGTCCCTCGGTAAGAAAGATATGGACTGGACACGATTGCACAGACAGACGGACAGACGGACGGACAGCTAGACAGCTAGACAGACGGACATACAGACAGACGGACAGGGTGATTCCTATCACAGGAGTCTGAAGTTTTTATCGTCAAAAAAAAAAAAAATCCGGAAAAAAATTTTCCTACCCTTAACTAAAAAAACCCCAGGATGGCAACGTGTTTTGAGGGGACCCACCTAAACAAATAGATCTGGGCTTGGCCAGAAAAATCTCGCGACTAATTCAGTTTCCGGAGCGTTTTTGTTATTTATTTAATGTGAAAAATTCAATCTGCTTGACGACTACGGGCCGTTCCTAGCCCTTTTTCCACTTTGACAGCTCATCCTGGACTCCATGCCACCAAACCGGAAGAGAATCTCGCAGTGTATATTTGACGTTTTTAAAAACTTGTTCAAATGAAATAAAATAAATAATTGTTTAACGTAATTTTATTCAGTTATTTTAAATATATTTAACAGAACTTAAAAAAGTTATTTATTCTTTTTCTTACTTGTACGACGATGTGTACCAGGGACAGATAATTCAGTTTTTACAAGCGCCAAATTTGAATCACTGAAAAGCCATGTCGACAAAGAGCCAAACAGTTAGACTGAAGCGCCATTATAAAGCATTATTTTGTTTGAAAAATATATCTTTTTATTGATCACGTATGGTAACATTAAATTGTTCATGAAGTTTTACATGCATTTTTTTTTGGTTCTTTTCTTCAATTACGTCATATATTCACCTCGGAGTTCACTTCCGGTTTAGTGGCATGGAGTCCAGGATGAGCTGTCAAACTGGAAAAAAGGCCATGAACAGCCCGTAGTCGTCAAGCAGATTTGATTTCTTAACTTGAATAAATAGCACAAACACTCCGAATACTGAATTAGTTGCGAGATTTTTCCGACCAAGCCCAGATCTATTTGTTTAGGTGGGTACCCCCAAAACACGTTGCCATCCTGGGGTTTTTTTAGTTAAGGGTAGGAAAAATTTTTTCCGGATTTTTTTTTTTTTTTTTTTTTGACAATTAAAACTTCAGACTCCTGTGTTCCTATATACCCCCCCAAACTTCGTTTGTGGGGGGTATAAAAAGCAAATTTCAGAAGTCAGGAAACTATTAAATAATTTCACTCATTAAAATATATTTACTTGAGACTGGCATATAATTTTACAGCCCCACAGTATACTTCCTTTTGACCTTGATGATTGACCAAGTAACTTTTATAGAATTTAAAGGGGTATGTCTCTTTTAATTTTGTTGTAAATAAAAAGTCTGCACCTTAAAACAATTTTTCTGTAGCACATGTTATCCTAGATCATTCTATAAATTATATATAATGTCTTAAAGGTTACAAATCTGAACAAATTTACATGCTTCACAGACCACTATCTCAGGAAGCTTTCATTCAATTTTCATCTTTTCTTGTCCAGCAGCTCTTGGGTTCAAAGATAAAAATTTGATTTACCTACACGGCCCCCTCCTACATCCTGAGGTCAGGTTCTGAACAATTTACAATCTACACTATCTTAAGAAGCCATTGCCTAAATTTCATATTTTCTAGTCCAGTGTTTCTTGATGAGAATTTATAATATATTTCAATGTAAAACTTCAATTTTCCATTGTGCCTTCATCCTACCCCAAGGTAGTACAATTCAGAATCTACACTTCCCAAGGAAGCTTTAAAATAAGTTTCAGCTGTTCTTCATCAGATTTTTTTTCCTGTCTATTTTAGTGTAAAACTTTGATTTTTCTTCCTCCAAAAGCCATGATTTGAACAAATTAAAATCCTCATTTCCTCACTCTTTTATATAAGTTTTAGCTTTTCCTGCCCTGTGGCTATTGAAATGGTTTTTCAATTGCCCAATACAGTGGACCTTCAGATATCCAGACGCCAGATATCCGGGTGCTTCAGTATCCGGACGATTTTTCATTGGAACGAAATATTTAAATGTTATTCTGTCTTGTTTCACTGGTGATTCAGATATCCGGATGCTTCACATATCCGGACAAATTGACTGGGAACCAAAGCGTCCGGATAAATGAGGCTCCACTCTATTAATTTCTTGTTTGTCTCCCACTGGAAAGGGGCTTTGTCCTTCATGTGAAATATTTAAAATTCCCTTAACCTAGGAATGCTTAATACAAGCTTTGGTTAAAACTGACCCCATGGTTCTTGAGAAGAAGTTGAAGACATGAAAAGTTTACAGACGGACAGACTGACGCCAAATAATATGTGATCAGGAAAGCTCACTTGAGTTTTCAGCTAAGGTGATCTAAAAACTAAGTGGTAGTAAAATTTGAAGTCTGTGTAGTAAAATGTACACTTTGACGAGTCACTTAAACCAATGGACCATTGATGCAGGACCCTTGTAAAAATAAAGTTTTTACCATTCTTCCATCCATTGCCATTGCCTTCAGTTGCATTACACTGTTGTTTCTTTAAATAGCCCGCTATGCCCAGATGCTCCATAAGCAGATCAGTAGCAGAAGGTGTCAACCCCATAGAGGAAATTCCCATTGATTTCTTCCACTCCTCCAGAGAAAAGTCTTTAATACAAATATTACAATCAAATGAATGTGTGATAAAAAATCCTTGAAATAATTACTTCAGATTCAGACTTAACACATAAGTAATTTATTGTTAATTTTATGATGTATTTCAGGCTTACAATGTTCTTCACTAAAGTCAAATAGTTTTTATCTCTATATTAATATAATATTTTACCAGGTATATGTGCTGATGCAGCAAAGTTGCACAAATTTTTGGGCAGACGCTTCTCTTGGAAGACGACTTTATCCAATAAACATGAAGACTTGGAATCAAAGCAAATGCTGAATCGAAGGTTGACAAGATACTGGTCCTCAGCTGATAAATCCCAAATCTGGAATCTTGAAATAAACAGTAAAAATACATTCAAATAATTCTTCTTACCAAAAGTCCATAAATTAAAAAAAATTCAAAGATACACTGCAAAATAAATAAATTTTAGGATATTTCCAATAGAGTCCCAGTCTTGGTCTCAATTCTGTAACCATCACACATCTGGTAAAGGTCTTACTACTCATCATACATGTATACATGTATCCATATAAAAGTTTGAAAGGTGCAATGTATTTTTAACTTAGACCCAGCCTAGGGTCCAAGCTCTGAGCAAGGATATTGAATTCTGTACATGTATGTAATAAGACATTCAATACAAATCTAAACCATCCTGGAGCCCAAATCAAATTTCACAGGTGTTATTAAATAGATTCAATTGTCTATTTCTTTATTCTGTACTTTTCTTGGATTTTCCAAAATAGTTATGTCAAAAGTGCAGTAATGTTTGTGCTACAAGTATGAAGTTAATGCCATTGGCCAACTTTTGTGACGTGCATAGTTTTCAATAATCAAAGTTTAGAGTCAATTTTAAAAACAATATCAACCTGTTAGAATATGAAGTGAATTACACCAATCAATAAAAGCATTAAAGCATATTCAGCCTACATTGTTTTTATTCCTTCTTGTCTTACTTGATGCGAAAAACATTGACCAATCTGACATCTTTTTCCACTCCAAAACTGTAGTCCTGCATGTAGATCTGAAACTGGAATTTGTCAATACCAAATCTAATGGTGAAGTTACATGGATCTATGTCAAGGTAGGCATGGAAGCTGTGGTGGATTGGTTCTGCTCTAATACAACAGTCAACTCCTGTACAGGACTCTGTGATCTGACAAACCATGTTGCTCGGAAGTGTTGGAAGAGTAAAACCAGACTGAGAAAGATCCTTGGAACACACTGGAACAAAGAACTACATATAACTTTCACCGGTACCAATATCATATTTTACCCATCATTCTTCAGTCCAATTTTTGCATTTTGATAATTTTGACTGGAAAATAAAATAGTGACAGTTACAGAAGTTGCCATGCCTTACATGTATATGCAATTTGTACAAAAATTTACTAATTAAAATAAATACCTGTAATTGAATTTTCAGCTTTGTAATCCTAGTTTTAAGGTAAGGTTTCAATATAACAGAACAAGAATTATATACCGGTATATATGTACAAGGCATATACAACACTGCAGTTTCTACATTTAGACAAAAAATCTATACCAACCCTTTTTTATTCCATTTGTATTGGGGACATACATTGGATCTGTTGAAGAGCATGGAGGGGCATTCAGAAATGTTGGAAGACCAAGAGCCTCTTTTATTTTATCAAGTGCCAAACCTTTAATCTGGTTGTAAGTTTTTAGTGCATTATCCAACATAAACTGGTTCAGGGAAAAGTCTGAAAAGAAATAATGAAATGCAAATCAATCTCTTTTTTAAAAGAAACAAATTGTAGAAAAAAAAATTGCAGTAAGGTTAAATGCAACAATTTAATAGAATATGGTTATATGTGTACTAGCCATTACAAATTAAGCAACCTGTTTATGCATACTAGGCATTTTTTAAAGATTTGACTTAAGCAAGCAACATTTAAATTTACTTAATACCCAAAATCTTTTCTTGGCTGCAAACATACATTTTTATTTATCAAATACTTTTGTAGTTTTATATCCTTTATTTAAAAGATCTTTCAATGCACTTGTATATGAATAAAATATAATGAACCTGGATTAAGGAAAGATGTTCCCCACACACAAGGTTGCTTAGGCAGCTTGGTTTGGTCCAGTATATTAATACTGACCAAACAGTTACCACCATCTTCAAAACAGACTGCCAAATCTACTGTGACCACATAAATTCCTTCACCAACATTATCCCAAATGGTGTACCTACAAGCCATTGCCATGTCTTTTATGTTCAACCAAAATGAATGCAAGAATCTTAATTGTTGTACACAAGTACGTATATACATGTATACATGTATTTTTTGTAAGTTAAAAACAGCTAGGCTACTCAATCACTATAAAAATTATATTATTGCTGCTATATCATGATAAAGGTAACACTGTATGTACACGTGGAGTTTTCTGATAAAAAATTATAAACAAAGTACCTTTACTGTTTGCATTAATTGACAAATATTGATCGAGTATTTATTTGTATGTGTGTACCAGTATTTCCTTTAAAATACAATAATAAAATTTTGAAGAACCCCTGGTAAATTATCACTTCTAACTAGTGGACAATCAATTCTAACAAAAAATTAATCCATGTACACTATAAATTAGCTGCCAGAAAAATAACAGATAAGAGAATCTAATTATTTAAAGAAGGCAATTTAAGTTTCATCTTTAATATTACCACATGGGCACAATAGGGCACAAAAATTTAATGGGGAATTTGAAGTCTAAATAATAATACCTTAATTTTATCACTCCCATTATAACAATTTCTTTTCTTTTACCTGAAAGAAAAAAGTTAACATGACTAAGCATTTGTGAGTTATTTTTATAATATCACCACAACCCTGCATAATTTTCCATATAATTATGCACATATAGTTTTAGTAAATGTGTCATGATCAGACAAAATAGGAAGAAAGAGAGTCCTGCCAAAATTAAACTCACCATATTCAAATCCCTGAAGAGATACAGTTTCTGTTAATTTCTCTATTCCAAAAGTCATTTTCTGGTTACAGAAGTCAATATCCAGTTCAAACTCAAATGCCCTGCTGACTTTTCCAACCTCTACACAGCATCTGATTGCTGTACAAGTCTTAGTAAGGTGGCATGCAGTTGTTCCACTTATTTTGGGAAGTGGCAAGGTCACTGGACAATCTATTTAGTACAAATAAATGTTTTCAAAACAATTTACATTTATTACATTGTAAATAAGTGCCAATAGCATACATTTAAAGTCATTTGATTATTATTTACATGTAGGATGCGATGTCACTTCTAATAATCAGAAATTACAGTTATACTCTATGTATACATTTCCGATACACTTACTTGAGGACCATCCACTATTGTACAGTTTGTTGAAACTGTAAGGTGCTTCGGTCCTTTCACATGCTGGATTCTTCAGGAAAGAATCAATTCCCAGCTTCTTAAACAAAGCAGCAGCCAGAGCTGTGGACAAACTTCCATCAAATGACAGACCTTGGTCATTCATCCACTTGACAAGAGAAAATCCTTTCACACTGAAGTCCATTTTGAGATCACAATTGCGAATAGGAATTAGAACTTGATTCAAGATGGGCACATCAAGGTTACAATCGTTTGGTTCAAGACATACTGCAACATTCATGTCCAAAACATACTTCTTTGAAACTTCTAACTGGCTTGCCTTAAACCTAAAACAAGTTCATAACATGGCTTCAATAATTTTAAAGTGATCATGAAGGGGTAAATTTATTCATTTGTTGAAGTTGTTTAGATAATTTATAATAGTGCATCTTGCATTAGTTTATGAAATTTTCTACCAAGTATGAGCTTTCAATGCTACAGTCCACACAAGGTTGCATGGACAGATGGATGGACAGGGTGATTTCTATATACCCCTCCCCAAATTCTGTATTTGGATGTAAAATAAATTAGATAATCATATGAATATTGAGCGTCTTCATTAAACAATAACCTAAAAGGGTTTTAATTCCATTTTTCTCAAAAAGCAATTCAGGCGAGCTTTGTTGCTTTGAGCAACTTCTTTGTTTGACGCAATATCATTTTTTACCCGCACATATTTTCTCCCAACATTTGCCATACTTTGCCATGTTTTTGACAATCTTATGTCGTTTTCCTTGCTATTTTAAGATTTTAATATTTTATGCACCAATAAAAACGTCAGAACCCATGCCAGTAAAAAATCTGGAAATTCACTGCCTCCAGCCAGAGGCAGCATTGTGGGCCTGATTTTCGATACATGCAAAATAAACCAAATGTCAAAGTCACCACTCATCAATAGTGTAATACTTTTAATTTCACCAACTTGTTTTCATGGTTTGTTCATACCTTTCGATAAAAACATTTAATCACCTAGATAGTTGAGATTTGTTTTCATTTCATGCATTATAAAATCTTGCTAGTCCTGTATCAAAATGTGGGGCGGTTTCTTTTCATCAATTTTGGTAAGTACTAGAAGCATTGTGCAATTAATATATTCCTAGTTTGGCATTTAATTCAGTTCAGAAGTATCAAAAATAAACTCTGATTAGAGACGGTGAAATTTAGTTTTTGTAATGGTGCTCATGGTTCTGGCTTTTTCTTAATTGGCAAGTAAAATATGAAAATCTTGAAAATAGCCTAGGATTCCGAAATTACATACTAACTTACCTTATGAATATTATATTGGCAATAGCAATGGACATCTCTTTTCCTAAAATACAAGAAAGATTTTTCAAATAATTTTTAATTGATTAAAAGTAACCTATAATATATTATTTAATTTATGGTATATTGAACATAATGCACAAATAATTGGGGTAAGATTTATTATGTATTCACTCAATCTCAAAGTGCAACTTCGATAATGGACATTGAACTGATAGTACTTTTGGCAACTTTGGTTATTCTTATGTACATGTACTTGTCAGGTTTAGGGGGAAGGAGGGATGACCACTTGGAAAATTAATACATTCAGTTGAGGAAAAAAGTACCTACAGTGTATTTGAAAACTGAGCTTTTCGATGGTCCCAATTATAGAAAAACAAAATTGAGAGGCCTGAAATACCAGGGAAATAGCAATTGAGAATTTGTATTTAATAAGGTATAAACACCCTTTTTATAACTACAATGTTCTTAAATGTTTAAATAAAAAAAAATATATGAATTGATACCCCAGAATCTGTTGAAATCCAGGAGTCCATAATTAAATGTTTTCTTTTCAATTCCTCCAGAGATGACATAGTTACACCTATCAAAGTGTAGAAAGAAGTGAAGTTTGAGGTTCAGCAGACTGAAGTCCACACAGCAGTCTATCCTTGTACAGTTAGAGGAAAGGCTGCATCTTACTTTGTCTGAGGTAATCTGGGGTAAAACCACCCAGTCCAATGGACACTCTGTAAAATAGAAATGAACCAGGTGAATTCTTTCTATTAATGATACACATATATTTTTATAACAGTTACTTGGTCTGAAGAGTCATATCACATCCAGATGACGGGTGTGCATCATCAGATCAAATGAGGCGCAAAGCGTTGTTTGTTCTGATGATCTGTGTCTGGCAATGAGACATGATACAGCTCTTCATATCAAGTTACTGTTATAGGATAAATTTATTATACATCCTCCTTACAACTAGCAAAATATAGTAATGTTATAGAGTTTTTGAAATCTATTATGTAACATTTGTCAACTAATCAAAGCATTTTTGTCAAGGAACTTCATCAGATTATGCCATTGTGTGATTGTATGAAAAATACAGTAAAATTGAGTGATACGCACTTGAGTAATTTTACATGTACGAGGGTCATTCAAAAAATACGTAGACAATGCTTTTCATCGTCATGTGATTATCACAAGATTATAGATCAACACATTTTCGTAAACATAAACATTTATTTTGTCGAAGTGTGAAGTTTCATTCCATTTGATTAAATAGAACTCATGTTAGCCAAAATTTAAAGCAACATGTTTTGTTACCACGGAGCACGGTTAACCAACATTGTAACGTCAAAAACAACGTTGAGAAAGTTTTTCAAAATAATACTCCCTTTTTTTTGTTTCAAACACGTTTTGTTGCATCTTCTCTACTCAAAAAACATATCCATAACACTTAACACTTAGTTTGCTAAGAATTGTACAAATATAGCGTGAATTCGAATGTCATTGTTTTCAAATTCTTTAATTTACCATGTAACTCTATTAATTCTGCAATAGTGAAGCACACAGCACGTTCAATGACGTTCCTAACTCTTTTGACAATATTTTTAACTTTAACGTGTTTCTTTGCAGACAATCCATCGTCTGATTCAAACTCGCTACCACTCAAAAATTGTATTTTCCATTCAATACAAATACACAGATTATTTTTCCTACAGATCCTGTTTTATACAGATTTTTTAAGCTTGTGGAAGAAGTTTCCCGAATGTTAAGTACAATTTTATTGCTACTTGCTGCTCCGTGACGTCCTACAACGTCATGGTTTTTTGCCCTTTTTAATCAAGTCCATATGTATTTAGAAACATGTATCTTTTAAATGGAACAACATTTTACATAACCTGATTTCATTTTAATAAATACAGCAATACTTTATTCAAACATGTAAATCTGATTTCGTTTTAGCTCTATTTATTAGAGATATGGCTGTAAATACTATAAAGTGAAAATTCGTAAATACAATGTAACTCAATTTTGACGGTGCTCCGTGACCCCATTTTTGCTGTTCTAAATCCTTGGTAATTTTAATAAATAAGAAAATACATTCCAATTTTTTTTCTCAAATTATATAAATCTGTTGTTAAAACATTTGTACCAAATTTGGATATGATATGACGTTAGATAAAAAAGTTAGGACAAAAGTCTACGAACTTTTTGAATGACCCTCGTATATAAATAATTTTAAGTTAAGTTTTGATGTCAGAGATTAGATCTTACACAAAATAATCAGTCTGAAACTGTAATGCATCACAATTGTCAATAATGAAAACAATTGATACATACTAGAAACAGTAAACGAGATAATGACCCTAAGAAGTACATGTCAAAATTCTTTTCAAGAATTATTGTAGTCAAAGTTAGAAAAGTCAAGCTGTTTATCCATCTCAATGTGCAAATTGAATATGGCCAGGCCATAACTTAGTAGTAGAGACAGATTAGAAACATAATATTGTTATTTTTGGCATGGTATCCAGAGGATTTTTAATCTGCAAAATATAGTTACCATTTTTCCACCCAGCGACACTAGGCAAATAAAAATCTCCCGTAGCATCACAGGGTGTGTCCAGCAGGTATTGGTCAATACCAAGCTGGTGAAGAAGCAGAGCCTTAGTATTGTCTTTCATGTCATTGATTGATGGGATTTCCATCTGCTGTAACCACTCAGCAAGCGAGAAATCTAGAGGAAGATTGATAAGCAAATATATAACATTAAGAAATTGGAGTTTCTCTTTAAATTGAAGGTATTTAAAAAGAATAAATTATATATAATTTTATGATTTCTTTTAATCAAGTGTGCTTATACTTTTACTCTCTTCAGAGATGATGGCTCTGATTGTTGGTAACTTGGTGTTTCTTAATATTGGGATGTCAATTGAACACTCTCCTCCATTCAGACACACAGAGGCATGAACATTAAACACATACACATTCTCGTTTGTTATTGGCTTCACGCTAAGTCTGTAAAAAAATAAGAAAAATTGTTTTATTTAAATTTCACAATTATAGTCATAAAAGAGGCTAGATGTGATTTTACATTTATACTCCTGTAATGTCCTCCATATCTCAATACATATATGTTCTCTATTTTAAATATATTACCATGATTACAATGTCTTAGTTTGTAAAAATGCAAGTTGTCATTTTGGTTCCTATGTATGTTTGGAAAAAAAGGGGGGGGGGGGGGTTGAGGGATGGAAAATAAGTCAGAGCCAAATACTAATATGCATTTTATTTTGCAAAGCTCCTTATCTATAAAACTGTTATGTTATAAATTTTTTGGCAAAACACAATTATAGCAGATATTTTGGTTTGGGGAAACACTCTAGGACCAAAGAATTTCTTTCCAAAAATGTTAGTTTTATTTTCAGAAATTTGACTCTTTGAATGATAACCAAATTCATGTATACGGTAAAACTCGGTTACAGTCCTGGGGACCTGTGAGTTCATAATTTGTTATATCCATATAAAGAATTCCTATAACCATATGTAACAAATTCATATATAACAAATTCACAATATGCATGTTTTTCTTCAAGTAATACTACCAAATATGTTAAGGAAGCAAATATTTCAAAGCATACCTTCAATAACTCAGATTTTTTATGAATTGAATTTTATATTCAAATGCTAAAAGAAATTAAAGTCAGTTCAATTTATCAAACTTTGAGATCTTTAAAAGTTTGTTATAAAAGATGTACATTTCATTATATTTAAGCTCAACAGGACTCAAAATCAGTTTGCTATATTCGTAAATTAGTTATATCAGAGTTAGTTATTACCATAAATATTTTCAAAGATTTGTTAGGAATTTGCCGAGGACCCAGAAAAACTTCGCTATAACCGTGAATTCACTATATCTGTGTTCGTACTTAACAAGTTTTACTGTACTTTGAGACAACAGAAATGACGTGGAGTAGTCTACTTATTTACTTATCTACTAACATCAACCAATAAGAAATGACACAAAATCAAAATATTTGGAGTGTAACTCAAGATACTGGGGACAGGGCAAAACATACGATAATTTGATAAGTCCACCAGCTACAGCTATCGTTTTAATTTCTCCCCACACATAGTCATTAAGTTTGATGGTCTCTTTGATGTTTTCCATTCCTATTTGTAGTTCCAGTTTGTCCAGGTCCAGAAAAGCAAACACATGTAATCCGAGGCCAAGGACAGGAATGTCAGCACAGCACTCTATCCCTGTACAGTAGTCAGGTATATAGCAGGACATTGGGTCGGGGATCTTGGATGGAAGGAAAGCAATGGTCTTTGGACATTCTGTAGAAAAAATTTTCAAAGTTTATTGAACTTCTTCTATTTTTTGTTATACAATTTAAAAGATTAAAATGATATAAATTCTCAATTTAAATTTATACATGAAAATCTTTTTTTCTTGATATTTATTATTATTCTTTGCACAGGTAAATTTTGATATATTGAACACTAATATGCTGAATACCATGCATTTGTCATAGTAAATGCTCAGTCCTGGTCGTATTTACTGAATAAATGACTAAAAATTTGGAATAACTGGTACGCAGAAATCTCGAATACTTGGGCTATCTCAAAGTAAAGGATGCTGGTACTATTGTTACAAATTTAAGCTAATTTTAAGCCATGTCAAAGTCTATAGTCAATTTCCTGCTCTATCAACTTAAAGTAGCTCCTATTTAGCATACTAGTATATTTGCTCAAAGTAATATTTTTGGCACTTATTCAATATCTTTTGTAATTAACCCCCCCCCCCAAAAAAAAACCACCTTTTGACAGGAATCTTTCTAATTAGAAACTCTAGAAGAGGTATAACACACACATATATATGGCACTAATTCATCTAATTTGTGTGAAATAATTTGTGGTCTGTAGGTGTGCTAAATTTTGAAAGGGAAAGATAAGTACATTTACAACAACCTTTCACTTAAAACAAAACTCAAAATGAATACCTTTTTAATTATCTTTTATCTTTAATGCTTATTCACTTTACTTACTATTATGGAATCCAAGGACAGATGGAATATAAGGGGTCCTTCTCCTGTCACATTTGGGACTCTGGAAGAAATCTGTAAGATTGAGTTGCTCTAACAGCAACATTAGAGCTCCCTCTCCTAGTATCTCTCCAATATCTAAGGAATTATCATCCATCCAATTTCTAAGAGAGAACTCTGTCAATATAAAAAGTTATTTTTCACTTCCAACATCTAAATGCTTAAGAACTGAATAATTTTTTTATCATGATTTTGTCTGATATATAAACTACTAGTGGACAATTCATATTCCTAGTACCTAATAATAATAATAATAATAATACTTTTTTTTTAATTTAAAGAAGGTAACCTGATTAGTACAAGCACTATTCTTCCCCAGGGCATTTTGACAAATAACAATATTAAGATACATAATTATACACATACAGACATATAATAAATATATACATAAATATACAAATACAAATAAACATGAATCACAAATTATTCTGACATTGTTTTACATAATGTTTTACTTGTCTCTTGAAAGTATTAAGAGTTGGTGACATTTATATGTGCACCGGTAAAGCATTCCATAAAATGGCACCAGAGTACTGGAAGGAATTTTCAAAAAGTTTGCATTTATGAATTGGCACACACAAATCAACATTTGATTCAGATCGAAGAGTATATTGGTTATTAATTTGAAATTTAAACATTTCATGTAAATAAGTACGACAATAATTAAAGAGGGATTTATATAACAATACATACTTATTTACTGTAAGCTATTCATAAACAGTAAGCCAATCAAGTTCATCAAAAAGGGGCCGTGAGGGTGGGGGGGCATCTAAAATATACCTTGCAGCACATTTTTGAAGTTTATGAACTCTGTCAAGATTTAATCTGGACGTGTTTCCCCAAACTGTTAGGCAGTAATCAATGGTAGGCATGATGTATGCATTATAAAACAACTTGCGTGTTTGAAGAGGAAGATACTTTTTAATTCTACGGAGTGCAGAAATTTAACGTGACAGAGTTTTACACACATGGTCGATATGTACATTGTATTGTAAAGAATTATCTAAATATACCTTAAGAATTTTTTTCATAAGTTACATTGTCTAATTTCTGGTTCGAAACATATAAAGGAAAATCATGGTCTAAGAATTTTGATCTCTTCTGATGTGTCCCTATTAACATGCATTTAGTTTTTGAGGCATTAAGTATCATTTGATTTTGAGTGCACCATTTTTCTATACAAGCAATATCCATTGATAAGGAATTTACAATAGATTGGAAATCTTTGCCGGGGACATGTAAAGTGGCATCATCGGCAAACAAATCTATGTTTGAATTTTTTATGCCTAAACTTTCCATGTGATTGAAATTTAATTGGTAAGACACATTGAATCTAATTTATTCTTATCCCAGACCTCACCATTGGTTAAAAACAATCTGTTATTCTAAAATTACATACAATTCTTTACATAGGAAATAAAATGTGAATAAATGAAAGGAAGACTTTGTTAGGACCATTTTAACTAGCTACTTAGTACATGTAATTATCTTTCAGCAGAAATGTTAACTGCACCCTTTATTCTAACAGTTTTGAATTCCTATCACCATATTTTCTTACATCTCAAGAATGTCTGTCTAAATTCAACACATCCCCCCCCCCCCAATGATTTGTTGGTTTGTGGTTCATGTGATCTAAAACATCTCTTGGACAAAAAAAGAGCTACTTGCTTTTGAAATTGACGAGAGATCTTTGATCACAGGCAGGAATTTCCTCTCTGTTCAAAAGATGCAACCCATCTTCCGTTGGGATACACACAGTTTCAGAATCAAATTTGAAACAGATCAAAATCTTCACATCCACTTTGAATCCCTTGTTGCCCACCATTTTTTCAACAAAATATCTGTAAGAAAATTTAGAAAGTTAGACAATTTGGATTGACAACTTTATAAACCATTTATAAAACTCAAATTCATAATCTGTACATACAACACTCAATATATTCCGATTGCTCTCAATTATTATTGAACTTTGGATGTCTGAGAAAAATTTAATCTTAGAAATATTTAAAACATGGAAGATTAACATTCAGTCCTTGAAGGCAAATCTTCAATTGTTTTCTGAAAATTTTTCTCTAACCTCAACCTAGCTGCAAGAGTTTTAAATTTAAATTTTCTGCATTATATGTGGTGCAATAATATAAGATTAAGTGGGAAAACTTGAAAAATATAGCATTATTCCGCAAAATATGAATTGCAATTCACCTCTACATGTATTGCTTACAGCAATTTACAGACAATAAAGTAACTTTTGGAACATTTCAAAGTAACGTACCTAAGGAACACACAAGTATGCTATGGATCTCGTACGAATTTTTTGAATACTGGGACAGTTTGGGTCTTTACCTGATTGATATAATTATTTCCAGGAAATATTTAGGGGAGAACAGATAATTAAGTTGCGTTTATAGGCCATAACAGATAAGCTGCCAAAAGAAATTTCTGTTTCAAGGACTCTAAGGTATTAATTAACATACAGTACGTTGTTTTTAATTTGTACACATATATTAATGGTAACTGTTATCTAAAAATCTTTTTGAAAAGCATGTATTACAACATAATTAGACTAACAGGAATTACCTTATTTGAACAGGTGCTGGATTTCCGGAGCCAAGATTCAGGGTATGTGGTTGACCTGCAAATAAATTCAGGAATGAAAAAGATTATTAAGATTTTTATGGCTCTTTTCTTATTTTTTCTTATATAAAAATTCTATTCCTTTTTTGACCCAGTCTACTTAGGTGACATCATAAAGAAAACTTGAAAATCTTTCTAATAAGAATATTGCAACAGAAGTTTGGTACAAGTAGTCACGTGGGTAAACAGATGATGACATTGGATTTCCCACCATAGGGCATGCCAAAACAAAGAGTGCGCTAAAATTTAAAGCATCTGCCTTGAGAAATTGCTTAGAAAACTACAACAGAAAATATATCCCTACAGACAGACATATGGATAATCGAGAAGTTAAATCAGTTTCATATAAAAATTAATACTTCCATATGGCATGCCTAAGCAAAGACTGTTTCAAAATTTCAAGCATCTGAGATGAGTAGTTGCTAAGAAAACAGCAAACAGCAATAAGAAATTTGTTACAAACACATAGATTATATGGACAAACACACCGACAGACACACAAGGACTACACAGTACCCCCCTCTCCTATGGAGCAGGGTACAATTACTTCAAGAATTATGTATTGTATTTTTTCAAAAAGACTTTTTCTAAAAAAAGGTTCAAACTTGCCAAACTCGTAATCAAGTAGGCGGGATTTCAATAATGTCTTCTTTCCAAAGCCAATATCAAGCAAGAAATCACATGGATCTAACTTAAACCAGAATGGAATGTTCTTGGTTATTTTGGTGTCTCCTAGGGGTATTTTGAAGGCCAGCTGTAGACAACAGTCAATTCCCCAGCAGTTAGGGGGCTGTTCACAAGTTACCATCTGTCTGAGTGCTATTGGCAAGTTCTTGCGTGCATCAAATGCTACTGGACAGTCTAGTCAAGAGGAAATAGTGTGATATGATGAAAGCAATGCAAAAATAAACATGGTATGAAGAAATAATTTTTTTGCAATAATTAAGTGATCTTCATTAGAATTTTTCTAACCTTCTGGTGTTGATGGTATTACTGGACAATCTCCAGAAGTGAATACTTCCTATACAACAGAAAGATTTTACTTTATTTTCACTTCAATTTAACAGTAAGAACTACAACAATTATTTTAGAGGGATAATGAATTTTTAAACTGTGTATTTTCCAATATGAACTAGAGTTTACCAGACCCATCAAAGTATTTTATCAATGCATATTTATTTTTCTTTTCAGTATTTCTAAATCCAGGTGTGTAAATACATTACTGTAATTTTCTAAACTTGTACTTACATCAAGGTCAAATTTCTTAAGGATCAATTCAAAAGCCTCCTCTGTCATTTTACCACCAATCTTCTCAAGTAAGCCAGCAATAGATCCACCTCCTAAAATAACAGACTTTCACAGAATATTCAAAAATTCTGTTAATAATGAATTCCCATTTTAAATAATTACATTAAAATTCTTAAAACAAAAAACATTAGTTTGCCCTTCTGCCATATATACATGATCTATATGTTTAAATTTATGTTTCAACGATACCACTGCAGCCACAATGTATATATTATTTTCTAACAAAAGCAATAAAAACATACGGATCTGAGAGACCAAGTTTCCTGTATTTGTAAAACTTGTAATACAAACAAATATTTAGCAAATCTTGTTACCTGGAAGGACAAAGTCTCCGCACAGAGGAATTGGAATTTTCAAGTCCTCAACAAAGTAGCCATTGACAAAACAGTCACTTGGTGGGGTCAAACAAATTACAAGTCCAAATTTTAAGATGAACACACCTTCATCTACATCTCTATCAATACTGTACCTAATTTTCAACAAAACATCTATAAATAATTTCAGTTTCTTTGAGAAATGAAAAACATAAAATATAAATTAAATTTATTTATTAAATTTAACTAGATCTCTGATCACACTTTATCTGTACTATTCATTTCAATTAACTCAGTAATTAAGTCATAAAGTAATAAAAAGTTATACTTGGACATGCAATAATGTGAGAAAAACTATGAATTTGTAGAAAAATGTATGCATGCATGATCTTGATATATTCTGAACTTTGTTATCCTTTTTTAATTATTAAATCAAAACAAACTTTAGGAGGAAAAGCATTTTGAAACAAAAATGTTTAATTACAGGTCAACAACTAGAGAGAAAAAAAATGCTCTCAAGGTTCTTCGACCAATTAGACCTTTAAAAGTGTCTGTATCTATTATAATGGCTTTGTAAAAAAATAATTTAATCAAGTTTTATTGGCTCTAGAGAGAATTGATATTTCATCAGAAGTGTTTTTTTTAAACAATTTCAGATGAACTAACTAGTCTGAAAATCACTCATATAGAATATTAATCATTCAACAACATACTTGATTTTGACATTTGAAGATATTTCTGCTATTTCATCAGAACCTATCAAAGAAAAGTAAAATTAAAGGTCAATGTAATTTCAAATGAAATGAAAGATATATGAAACATACATGTGGCACCCCAAAACATTGGCCATTTTTCCTGTTTAACCTTGATATTGAGGATTAATCTTCAATATATTATGAAGCCTGTTTTGTCATAAATATAGCTGAAAAACTTAATTCATCTAGGATTCTAAAAGGTTACACAGAATTTTTCACCAAAAGTAATGTATTACACTTGCACTACTTATTACTTCATTATTAATGCCAATTGAAATCAATTGTTCTTTGCAGCTCACCCCAAGTATAACTCAGGAGCACCTTGGTCCAATTATATTTCTCAAACCCAACATGAAGAACAAAACTACATGGATCCAATTCAATGAAAGCTGAGAGAGTTTGGAAAAATTCTTGGCCAAGTAAAGAAACTGAAATATCTGCCCATACATCAATTCTCCTGCAGTCCTGTCGAAGAGCATAATATAGGTACTTGGAAAAAGTGCTAGGTATTCTTGGTAATGTATAGTTATAATCCTTCACAGCACAACCTGAAAAACATAAAATTATGATAGCATCTACAATAATTTCTGTCACATGTGCATTTATAAGTATATAACTTGTTATTTTGTGCAAATTAAAAGTTCAAATTTACAGTGTATGTCACATGGAACTATCTGTAAATTTATGAATTGAAGTCTTTGCAATCATTGTGAAATGAAAAGTTATCTTGTTTGCATGTTGGGGCTGTACATGTGGCTTTTAAAGTATAAAGACACTTCTTTGTATTTATCTAATATTCTCATTTCTACTTGTCTGTTTAATAGCTCTTTTGAAGTTAAGTGAGTTAATTTCTTGACAATTCAACCAGAATGTAAATTTTGTGCGTGATTTGAAGTGGGAGCATACACAGTCAAGTTTTTTATTTATTCTGATGTTATCACATTGTATGATGACAGACCATATCAATTTTGATTCAGGTTATTTTGTGTAAATATATCCATCTTCCTTCCTTTTTTTTTTTTCTATCATTACCTTACTGTTGATTTCCCAAGAGATATGCATTCAAAATTGCTATTTTATATACTTAAATATAGAGTAACAAACAGGCACATATTGTTCCTTGAAACAAGCTTATTTATAATTATTAATCATCAATATTCTTACTTAGATCATCCTCTAACAGTCGCCTATTCTGTTCATCTCTTGTTCCTGTTATTGATAGCATCCTTGATTTCAGTTCTGCCAGCAACTGTCCAATAGTCATTTTCTCAGGTCTTGGGGATGGATTATCTTCTTTTAACATGTCCTGAGACAAAAAGATTAATTAATTGCAAGCGTTAGCAGTTTAAAACCAGATGTTCTAGTCATTAAATCCCTGCTTTCAATAAGACTTAATGTTTTTATATGGTATAGTCTTAACTTCATAAAAGAAATGCTGAAATGACATTTTTTCATCTGATATTTTATTTAACAATTTGTCTTTCAGGAATCCAATGCCTGATAAAAAAAAAATTAGCCTATAAGGACTAAACTGGGTTTTTTTTAAAATCTAGTTTTGAAATATGTGAATTTCATTGAAATAATTTGGGCACTAATGTGATATCCATCTCCAAAAAACCATCCACATTTTTTTGTCTGCTATAAAATGTGTGATGTGTTTAAAAATATCATTTAAAGATTTAACTAACCTTAGCTATTTTTAGAAGCTTTAAAAATTCAGCTGAGAGTTCAGATGCAACTTTTCTGATGACATCTTTGCCTTGTTCTTTTATTTTGTTATATAGAGCTTCTTTGCTGAATATCTTTTTCAAATCAACTGAAATTAAATAAAAATGATAAAGCATATTTCACAATACAAAAATACAAATACATGTATATATAAAAGAAATTTGCATTATATCACAAAAAAAAACCAGCTTCAAGAATATTGAATCTTATTTCAAAAAAGTACTTTTTAAAAAAAATGTAGATGTAAGCAAAACATTTAATATGGATCCAGTCTTTAAAACACAATGTCATTCATCTGTCCAGTACTTTTGTTAAATTCTCCAAACCTTATAATTTTTACAAAGATTACAACACAACCAAATTCTATTATTAAAATCAAACCAAATCTGGAAAATGTTGACTCAGGACCTTAACATTACCGCTACATTGCCAAAAATTTCAACTCATTACCGCTACATTTTGTCAGATCTTCGACCGATCATTACCGCTACATTTTTCCGACAAAAAACAACTCATTACCACTACATATCGATTTAGCCAGGTATAGTTCAGTTAACATGAGTTCTAATCAACAGAATTCACTCACTATCTAATCAGAATGAGTACATACTGGTATATATAAATAACTCTGCAGTCCGAATTTAATTATTTAGCGTCATCTGAACATTATGGCCACCATTGAGAAGTTTGTTACAAATCGAGGGAATGCCGGCTTACTTATCGATTTTTTTTATAAATTTAGAAAAAATAAGACTTTCAAAAACTCAAAATTGTGGAGATGCGTTGAAAAGAGTTTCAAAAGCAGCTGCAAAACAGACCTCGACGAATCATTTGTTGATATTAATTTTAAAAAAACCATCCTGTTCAAAGTCCTACTTTCACCTCCCCGTGATGAGCAGGAGGAACGGGTCTTATGCATGTACATGTAAAGGTTGTACTGTACACGCATAAGTGGCTTGCTAACGAAAGAGGCAATGTAGCGGTAATGTATACTTTTTTATGTAGCGGTAACGTAATGTTTTTTGTAGCGGTAATGACTATGTAGCGGTAACGAAAATTTTGAAATTTGTAGTGGTAATGATATGCACCCGGCATTGCGAGGATGTATTCCACTTTACCTTCAGGCCAAATAAATGTTCCATCTACCAGGCAGTTTGGTATAGGAAGAATGGCATTTTCTATCAAGTTCACAAACACTATACAGTTTTCAGAATTATCAAAGCTGCAAAATCCAGCCCCAAAAGTTACCAGAGTGGCATTTCCTCCCTTAAATATACTGTATCTGAAGCAAAGTAAAAAGAAGCCACAATTTAGCTAATTAGTAATTATCAAAAATGTCAGTGCAATATGGCAATATTTGTTTTGATTTTTTTTTTTATTTATGAGGGACTTAAATTTTTTTTTTTTTTTTACAATTTTAAGCAGAATTTGTCTCAATTATCATTTTTTACACTAAATTACACTTAAGGTTTCTTAAATCTTATGATTTTTTAAAAAAATTGTACCTTACAACCAATTCAATTCCTCCAAGAATATCTATTTTTATATTAGTTCTTATTTCATCTTCAAACCCTGAAAAGAAAAAGTGAAATAATTCATTTATAGATCTAAATTTTAGTAAAAGGCTCAAATTTCCCAATGTTCACATATCACATATCTAGTACTGTAAACGTAATCACAAATTTTCAGGAGGGTTTAATTTTCGTTGTTTCCAAGGTATGGTGAGACCTACGAATTGATGACCATTATGAAATGTGCCACATAATATTTAACCTACACCATGTCCTAGGGTGAAACTTATTTTTAATTTCTTAATACAAATTAATAAGACTTTATGCATTTTAATCATAATTCATTGCATGTCTTTTTTTAAAGCATTCCATAATTTCCATACATTCTGCAATTTTTTCTGCACTTTGCAATTGTCTGAATATAATCAACCGCCTTTAAAACTTGTGGGTGCTTGCATATCTTAGTCTTAGAACTCTAAACAATCTGCCTATAGCCTCTTAAAACGTATATCGTCATTTCACTGGTTAGATCCATTTATGACTAGGCTTCTGTCATATGGGATCCACACAATATAAAGGATATATGTAGACTGATTAGAAGGTATACAACAGCAGCCCTCTTTGTATACAATGTTTAATGATTACAGAAGATGCATAGAGAATATTCAATGTTTTGCAATGAATTTTCTGTTTATTACATTGTCTTTGATTTTCCCTTTGCCTATGTCTTTTAAAATGCAGTCTTAGGCTACATGACATCATAGTTGAGTGGTTGAAAAGTCATAGCTTAGTGAGAAATATTGTAAACATGAATTTCAGCAACATATTTGGGGAACTTTCACAGTCTTTGTATCTGTCAGAATGGTCTATTAACTCGTTCTCGATATACTTTATAACAGGCCAAGGAATATTTTTACAACACTCTTTGTTATTGGAAGGAAAATGGGAAGGAGTTTTACCGCACTTCTGATATTTGTCACACTGTGAAAGGATATCATTTTAATATTCTGTCACACTGTGACAGAATATCATTTTTATTCAATGAATATTAAATTGCAGCATTTCACTATTGAAAATGTAATAAAACAGATTATTAAAATGATAGAATTTTAGTGACACAATCCAAATGCTTGAGACCAATGTTTAGTATTACATGTACTACACAAAATTGTCCATGGCTTAGTAGCCATACCCGATGACTCACTTTTACAATTTCATAATAGACCATCAAGGAAAGAGTCCATGTTCTATTTGCCTATTTGTACCACCAATACTTTTAAGCATTTATTTGCTCCATCAACAATAAAGGACTGGAGAAAATTTTAACTGTAAATTACTTAAACTACAGTACAGTTCAAGGTTTGGTTGCAACCACAAGTAACTGTTTATTTATTAGTAATCACTAATCCTGCATAACTTATTTGCTCAATCCTGAGAAAACTTCCAGTATTTATAAAGGTACAGATATAAATTTGCTGAGCTGTAATCTCAATTTTTAAAAGTAATTAATTTTTTATTCATTTTTTTTGTATAATTATACATAATTGTAGGATACCTTCATATTCTAAATCCGAAGGAAATTCAATGACATGTCTGTATGCATCAGCACCCATGGCAAACAGCATAGGTTTGGAACAGGGGTCAAAGTGTGCCCACACCTTGAAAACCTTTAGGAAAATGGCAAACTTTATGTTGACACAACATTCCAGTCCTAAGCACTTGCTGTCAAAGGTGCAGTATACATTATCTTTTGGCATGGTGAAGGTCATCAAAGGGCATTCTATAAATATAAAATAATGCAAAATAAGTTTATAGGATCATCACTAAAGTGGTTCTGTGAACCTTTATTGACACAGGTATACTGCACTAAATGAGAATTTCAACAAATAAATACCTTTATCCAGCTGCATAAGTCTTTCTATCAGCTGTTCTCTGGATCCCTTTGTGTCTTTACCCCTCTCTGTCAGTTCATTTACGAGTTGGTCCTCTGTCATTTCATTGGGGTTTTTACAAGTGCTATTGCCAATAATATTCTGTTTAATAAATCAAAGTTTTAAATGAAACTAGAAAACTGACCAGTCAGCAAGGGCCCCGCCATGGGGTAGAATTAAAAGGGTGCAGCTTACGGAATGATTAAAAAATGTACGAAGAATAAGCAACAGCAACTAATGTATTCTTAAAATTTCAAGATAATTCCTGAATATTCAAAAACCTGAAAATATATCCTTGTATTTACATTAGGCAGTAAAGAACAACTTAACATTGAATGTATATTTAAACAATTATGAAGCTTGTGTTATATAGAATGCCAGCCTTCAATGAATGCAAATATCATGAAGGCTTGACCTTAACTTCAAACAAACAGCAGTTGCAGACAAAAGTTTTCATTAATCTTAAAGATAAAGAAAAGCCTACTAAATTTTCTGCAGCAGGCTAGATAATTAATCCCAAAGGATTAATTGTACCTCTCTCATCATTTTCTTCTAAAGTTACAATAAGAACTTTTTCAGTATTAATGATAGAATGGGGTTTTTATACAACTACCTTAAAAATTAATTAACATAAAGTGAAAAAAAAAAATCAAAAAATCTTCTTTAATCTATTTCTTGTTTTTAGAATTTAATGAAATCATAACTATTAAACAAAAATAAATTATAAAAATTTATATTTAAATCCACATTTCAGAGTGTTCATAGCATTCCAAATTGACTTAACTTCAAAACAAACTTCGTTTGCAGACAGAGGTGGTAATTCATCTCAATGTGACAGATAAAGATAATGCTCTGGATTTTCTTCAGGAGGAAAGCTAATTAATCCCAAGGGACTCATAGCCAGCATTCAGTTTACAATGGGAACATCTTCAGCAGTTATCTCTCTTTGTCAATGCATTCTTATATAAAGTTAAGGAATCTACCCCACCACCCCAGCTCCAAACCAGGGGGCATAGAGAACCAAACTTAGCATCAAAATATGTAATTCTGCCTACTGAACTACCATACCAAATGTGTACTTGATTGGACAACCATAAAAAAAGTTGTCCATTCATTCTTATGCATAGTTAAGGAATCTACCCCACCATCCCAGCTCCAAACCAGAAGACATAGAGAACCAAACTTAGCATCAAAATATGTATTTCCGCCTACTGAACTACCATACCAAATTTGAACTTGATTGGGCAACCATAAAAAAGTTATTAGAAAAAAACAGAAAATTTGTGGACGGAAGAGTGACAGACGGACAGACAGACAGACGGACAGAGTGATTACTATAGGGCACCCGCAAATCCTTGCGGGGCCCTAATTAATTGACATGAATCATTCTAGGAAACGTGTGCATTCATCTGAAAAAAAAAAACTAATTCTGTTTATAGCAAAGCAACTAAGACCACCGACAGATATCCCAAGATGTAGGCCTATCTTAAATAAAGATCATACTGAAGTTTTATACCTGTATAGCAAATATAAATACAAACCTTTATTCCCACCATAACTTTGGCCATAGCAGCTTTACTCTCAGTCATTCCTAATTTGTCTAGAAACTCCACAATGGTTCCAAATTTTAATCGTCTTATATTGAACTTCTCAAGAAATTTATCTGCAGTTCTCAGAAGTTTTGAAAAAAATCCTACAAGAGGATTTTTTTTTTAAATCAAATGAATGCCCTCTATATAAATTTAATATTCTTTATATATTCTGTTCAAAATATATGCATTGCTTTGCATGGACACATACATTTACATATGCCAACATATCCTTATCAGAACATTAGAATTTGCCCCCAATTTAAGTTACTCAATGTTCATGATGACATAATGGAAACATAACCCCCCCAAAAATTAATTGTTGAAAACCATGCAAATATACTGGAGAATAATTTAGATAATTTCACCTTTGACCCCTGTTGTTGGGGGAGGTGTGGTTGTAGTGGTAGTAGTGGTTGTGGTAACCCATGTGCTGGTTGCCATCAATGCACTGCATTTTTCATCATCACTGTCAAAATCATCTAGAAAGCTTTGTTGTTTCACTTTACTATAGGCACTGTCTGGATCATCTTTTAAAAATAAAAAAATCCAATTAGACATTAAAAGAAACACAAAGATCATATGTAGATCTTTAGAATTAGGATCTGGGTCTGAATTATTCTGAATTTATGATTTGTTAATTCATTAGGTCTGTCATCGTGGCATTTATTGACTCTGAATCATGATCAAAGAATTATCACTCAGTTCCATACACTGGTATGTTTAAACTCATATTTTTAAAGAATTGTAAATAGATATTTGATAAATGTAAAAGAAATATAATCTATAGTCAATTTGAGTTTCAAAGAGTTATTGCCCTTTGAATGCGTTTTGCATGAATGTAAAGTAATGGCCTAAATGAATGCATTATGTGTTTAAATTGAAATTGTTTTGTGTTGTAAAGTCAATGTGTTTGTCTTATGTTGTCTATGTGTTTATACGTTGTTATTGTTATTTTAGGGTTGATTCCACCTATTTTCACTTATAAATTTCAACTTTAATTCAACATAATCTCCATGGAATAAATACGAATCCAACCCTATTGCCGACTTGTTCATAATTTCTACAAGAACCGGCGGTTACATACCCAAGGATACTTCCAAAGTTTCTTTATTTTCTGGCCAAGTGGTTCTACATCAAAAGATTTTTAAAGATGTTTCAATATACTTCAATGCAAAACTCATATTTCCTATTGTGGCCATCCCCTTCCCTCAGAGTTCATGATTTTTACCCACTGGTTCTTAGGAAGATTTTTAAAGATTTTCCTATTTTGTGCCCCCCCCCCCCCCGGCCAAGTTTTTAATTTTTTTTACCTGTTTAGGAACCTGCTTTACAATAGGTTAGATAGAGCATTAAAGGCCTGAACAAATATCAGGTTCTTGGGGTACATCACAGCACAGCCTTATTTTGACATACAGCTTGTTTAGTACGAACACGGATAATGCAAATTTATAGATATTATGAAGTTTTCTTGGATCCCCAGTAATATAAATTCTACAATTTCCCTATACGTATATAACGAATTACAGATACACGTATAGCAAAGTAATTTCACAGGTCCCAGTGTCTTTGTTATAACCGAGTTTTACTGAATATATATTTTAATATATTTTAAGACATGGTCTAAAAACATGTACCTTTAATGTCTTTTGTGTCATCAGGATCAGCACTAGAATCTGAAAAATCTTCAATTGGATCTGCTTCCTCTGTATTAGTTATTTGTGGATCATTGTTTTGCAAGTCTTCCCCACCTAAACCAACTATCGCACCAGCAGCTAAAATTTCATTCTTAAAAAAGAATTAGAATCAATTTTATTTTTCAAAAAACTTGAAAGAAAATGTTTTGATAGAAATTATAGTTAAATTTTTTAAGTCTTAATTTGAGCCAATTAGTCAAATATGAAATAAATAGTCATGTAGGGCCCTACAGTGTGCAAACATCAACAACATAGATTGATTGATTGTATACTGTTTAATGTCCCTCTCCAGAATATTTCACTGATATGGAGACATCACCATTGCTGGTGAAGGGCTGCAAATTTAGGCCTATGCTCGGCACTTATGGCCTTTGAGCAGGAAGGGATCTTTATCGTGCCACACCTGCTGTGACATGGGGCCTTGGTTTATGCGTCTCATCCGAAGGACCGCCCCATTTAGTCGCCTTTTACGACAAGCAAGGGGGTACTGAGGACCTATTCTAACCTGGATCCCCATGGGGCTCAACAACATAGATGTTATAACATTAATTTCTGATTGAGATACAAAAATTTAATTTTTTTTATTTTTATGGAATACTCAAGTAATCTAATCATTTGCATGTAGCTATGTTGATGGTTATAAAACTAGAAGTAAAATCCACAGTCCAATAATTAGGTTTGACTTTTTGACTCTGAATTTCAATTGATAACCCCTAAAGTTAAGAGTGAATACACTGTATGATTAAAAGTAAATAAAACTCATAATACTGCATCTGCAAATATTGATCTGAAGGAAATATCTAAATTTGACCATTAGACCCTAATATAAGAAGACATATTTCTGCTATCACCTTGCTATCTTTACTGAAACTAGTTATGAAACTAAAAGTCAAGAGGTAGGCTGTACATAACAAGACTACAACACTAGCTATTATGAATGTATGAATATATGTATACAGATAGCAATGTTGTAATGATACTTTCTTGCACTGTTATAATGAACAAACTCATTGATCAAATGAAACAGCTTTTACCCTGAATACAAGTTTGTAATCATCACAAATTTGTTTCCACTGAGGTATTGCTGGAAAAATAGAATCAAGATATTTTGTAGGGTCGATATAACTTCCACCATCCTTCTTGAAGGCCATATGAATGTGGTTATCACACTCTGTCCTTTTCACTCTTCCAATAAGCTGTCCTGCAGCAACCTACATAATAAATTCAATTTTATTTATAGGTACAGATCGAGTGAAATTACTTTAATAATAAATTTGTCCTTTATCTTAAATCTGAACACTAAATATAATAGAGACTCGATCATTCTTGTCCATCTAAACTTTCTTGAGGCCCTATAATAGCTTCTAACTTTTTAAAGTTTGGAGTTCTTCACTTTACAAATCTCATCCAACTGAATTCTAAGATCTATAGGAAAACTAATGGCATATGGTTCTTTACAATTCCTGTTCAGCATTAAGATCCCCTTCTTGACAGACAATCCAAATAAATGTGTACAATCCTTTCTAAAACTAGATGATTTTAATGCACACCACTAACCATAAACAAGAAAAGTGTACTGAATGAAGCTTTAATAATAGCTGTTCTACAATAAAGTCTGGTGAGCTGAAAATTTTACTTACCGATCTTCTCTCATTAGTTTCTATCGTAGAGTTTGGTATTATATTGCTGATGAATATTGTGACTTCCTTCAACGAACCATCCATTCCAGTGATATTCACCATGCTTGAATCATTTGAATCCAGTGTGATATATCCAGTAAAAGGTGATACAATCTTCAAAAGCAGAATAGTAAAAACTCTTTTTTATTGTACCGAGGTACATTTTAACTTTAGCATCTTAATATTATCATCAGATACTGCACATTCATTTCTTAATAAGCTATGGGAAATTATAATAAATATTACAAAATTTTGCAAGATGCACCACTCATAATATTTTTCACATTTATTTTTTATCATACTACAAAGAGGCCCAAAGGCCACATCGCTTACCTGTGCACTTTGGAAGGAAAAAAAAATCAGTGCAGCATTGAAAAGTTTTAAAAGTGGTCTCAACCTAATTAGGGAGGTATGTCTAGGGGATTTGAACAAAACTCTAATTGAGGATGACTAGTCATGACTTTTGAAGATTATCAATTATCCTCCTTTAAGTTTTTCAAGATATTATGGTTCTTGCCCTACCTTGGGGATCATTCATGATTGGATTATTTGAACAATCTTGAAACTACACTACTAATGGATATTTCTGTATTAATGTTTTCATTTCTAATGTCTTCGTCCGAGATAAAATTGCAAATACTGTAGTTAGAATACTTTATTTCTACATAAATCTACTGGACAGGTTTATCAATTGGCGTGGTTTACAAAAATCATGTGTGGGACGAGACAAATCGACACAGAAGAAGGGCTTGTAGAATGTGAATTTGTGGAATCAAGAGCATTTAAATATAAGGAATAACTGTCAGACTTTTTGGTTTCATGACAATGATCAATCAATTGGTTTGCATGAAAATTATATGCATAAACATCTTCAGCAATTAGGCAAATTATCATGCAAGCCTTTCGTTTCATCACATTTTAATATTAAACCAAAAAGCATTTTATCAATTATTGCATTTTACTTAAATTGACATCCAGAAGTGCCAAGGATTCTTTTGCATACATGGTCAAACATTCCATATTAGAATATTGAGCTAGGATCATTTTGTTTTACAAGGTATAGATACATGGTAAACTTGATAAAAAATCTAATGAAAGACATCTTTTATAGGCAGTCGTACTCAAGAAATAATTAATTATAAACATTTCCTACAATGCATTCTTTGTGCCTTATCTTTTGCTAAAATTCAATAAGATACCCATGGTCTACAGTGCTAACAGGACTCACTTTGGCCCTGTTGTTCTTCAAATAACAATTTTTTTTCTCATCCTTATTCCTATAGAAAATTCTAAATCCATATTGGGGTCCCACCTAGCCCTGAGCAATATGACATAACAAAAGTTAAGTCCCTGCAATAATGTGGATGCTTCAATTTCAATATATGACTTACATGACCTTGATGTTCTGCATAAGATTTAGACTTATCCTAATTTTAGCCTATCAAACATACCTCCTTGTTCTTTCCCTAACCAAATGACGATTTCTGGCCTTGTATCTCTTGACATAATGATGTTTAAATATGCAGTTTTATAAAAACTGCAGGGGTCCTTCTTCAACTTGATTCTACGGTTAAGAACAGACGAGACGTTCCTTAATGATAGATAATTTTTTCTATGAGTTTGTCATTGAAGTATTGCTACTTAAACATGTTTACTCACAAAATATTGAGGTACCTTACCAGGCATTTCTGCAAGATACCAGGGGTAGTTTTTCTTATATGATCCTTTGGGGAAGAAAAATAATTTTCCAGTTTCAAATGTGTAAGTGTCTGGATTTTTTAAAAACGTTTAGAAACTGGTTCAGAAATCAGAATGTTATTAAACTTTTGAATAGTTTTCATACATTACGAAGATATACAAAACAGATTTTAAGGAATGTCTCGTCTGACCTTAAGGTTTACAAAAACATGAAAATATATTATATTAAATCTTCCATCTAATTTTTTTTTTTTTAATTGTCCAGTAGTTCTAAGGAAGATATTTCAATGTCACTATAATATGTACTTCTTTTTGCATTTTTTTTAATCTTCACTTCTCTATCTGTTAGTTTGAGTCCTGGATATCCCCCTACCCCCCCCCCCCCCCCACACACACACACAGAGTATTCTTTTGCTTTAAGACACATTGCTTGAAACTGCTCTTACGGTTCTGGAGTAGATGTTACATGCATGTGTTTTTGAGTTTGTGAATATAATGACACAAATTTAAGATTTTCTGTTACTCAAAAATCTTTCCACTTACTTAAAGACATCTCACTTTTTTTGGTCAAAAATATAATGTTATAATAATACAGTCATAAAACAAAAAAAATTTAAGACATATCACCTGTTCTCCTACTGTTGCCAATAGATCCATTCCTATGTGCTTGTATTTTCTGAGCCCCTTTCCTAAACTTGATGGAAAAAGCCCGCTTCCACTGCAACCAGCACCTTTTAGTCGACGATTTTTGGGGAAAGTCTTGTGAACTTTTGGCCCAAAAATTGCATCAATAATTCCTCTAGCTGTGTCATAGCTAAAAAAAAAAGCACAGTGCTCTTTTAAATGAACTGTTAAATAAAGTAAATTATTTCATTATTGTTTCCATTTATAACAACATAATTATCTATTAAATAAAAAGTATTAATATATAACAGCCTGTCAGACTAAATAGGTAGTGTATGTCTTTTATGTGTTTTACCTTTATAATAATTCAATTAAAATATTAAAATATATTAACAAACCATTGTTTTTTTATAAATTTCTTGTAACATAAAAGTGTGGTCTTGATTTGATTCACTAGTGTACATGTACATAAAATGATGTATTTAAAATTTAGCACAATCCCTTTGGATTGAGTTGTTGGCGTATTTATAAATCAGTGAACACATTTCTTCACTGTATTGTATTTATATATTATTTCTTGGCGGTATTTATGAATAAATGTCTCTGCCAAAACTGCTAAATTCTGAAGCCTGCTTTTTTAAGTACACACACAGTATTTAAAAAGTATAAACTCAAATGCTTAACAAATTGAGGCAATAAAAATAAATTGGACAATCCATTTGAAATTATACAAGTATACTTACTGAACCTCCATCATCCTCAAATATAAATTTACATATACATACAACTTAACCAGAAAGAAAGTACAGTGAGAGACATACCCTTCCTTCAAAACTGTGTATGCATCCTTCACGTCCTGGATTATTCCAAAAATCATGCTATAATGCTTAAGAAATTTGTCAGCAAAGCCAATTAAATTTTCAAATGGCTTCATCAAAAACTCTTGTATTGACTGAAGAGTTGTCACAGCCTCTCGTTTTATATCTTGCTAAAATTAAAAAAAAATATTTAATTTTAGAAATTACCTAAATTGTCTGATGAGTACAAAAGAAGAAAAGCTTTTTTTTTTTTTTTTATTATTATTATTTTTTAGAATCCAACTACTTTTTTAACTGCATTTTGCTTTTATGGGTAATGAAAAAATTTCTACTGAGGATCATCTTAGAATCATTAAATAATCACATCACAAGCAAGCTTTTCCTGTTACTATATGGAATAATGTTGATAAATGTTATGTTAATTGTATTGATATTTGTCTGTATATGTACTAGTATAGCTGATACTTTGTCTTATATTATAGTATAAACAAATACTTACCAAACTCATCTTTCCTCCAGTAAATATCTTGACCTTGTCTTCCCCATCCTCTATCTTTTCATTTACCCATCGTTCTCCTGCAACTGTTAGGCTCTTAAATGCTTCCTCTCCCAAAACATCAAACTCGGCTTTTAATTTATCAACCTCAAACCAGTATGGTTTTTCATCTGATTGAAAAATACATACTTTTAATCTAATAAATTTAAAGTATATGTAATGAAAGAAAAACTTTCTCAAATTAAAAACATCCTTATAGTTTCATAAAATTTCAGAGTGAAGTCATAAGCAGTTGACGATATTTTATATAGACATTAAATAGCTTCTTGTTTCATTATGATTTCCATAATCAACCTGTAATGTTAAAAGAGGCCCATTTGACACATCACTTATCTGAGCACTTTGGTTCACAAAAAGCAGAAATCAGTTTAGTATTTATAAGTATGAATATGCAAGTGCATGGCCCCAGAGGCATGATTTAAACAAATTTGAATCAACACTCAGTTAAGTGTGCTTCCATATTCCATAGACTAATCATAGCTTTAAAAGATTTTATTACATTTTTCCCTATTAGTTCCATCTATTGACATTTTTTCCAATGTATTTTAGGCCATAATAAAAATATTCCTAGATTCTCATCCCCGCCCGCCCCGATTTTATACCCCCGCCTCGTTTTTTTTTTTTTTTTTTTATTTCTGTTTTTCTTCGTCTTAATTCTGATCGGGATCAGTATTCATCTACCATTCTACTTTCGTTTTATATCCCGCGAAAGTCGACATGATTTTGACAGCTGAAAAGATGGTAATTGACTAATTGCTGTTATACATGCGTACATATTTTAAACGAGGTTCATTGGTTGAAAAAGATCGGTGATGATGTGAAGTATGAGATAATTGAACCTTTACTATGACTTTTATTCCGGTATTTGTAGGTAAAATTACATCCATTGACCAGGTCAATAAAAAATCTGCAAAATTGAAAAAATAAAAAATATAAAATAAAAGCCGCCCGCCCTCCTCGATTTTGAAAAAAATTCGGATGAGAATCTAGCTATTTATTCATTATGGCCTTAAAGTCAAACTTGGGAAAGAATCCCACCCTACACCGAGGAATCATGATATGAAAAAACTTGAATCTACACTACCCAACATGACTTTCATGTTGATTTACCAATTATGGCTTAGTATTCTTGAGAAGCAGTAGATTTTTAAAATAGATTTTTCTTCGTATTCCTACAAAAAAAATTTACTTTTTTTACCTCTGAGAAAAAAGCAAGCTTCTTGAATTCTATCCTTCTGTTTTAAAAGTGTTACAATGGCTGTAAAAATCCTACAAAAATTCAAAACATTGATAATGTAATGTAACCTAATACAAGATAATTCGGGATATGTCAACGAATATTCGAGTACTCGACTATCGTTCAATCATACCGACTATCGACTAAAATTTCTTTAGTCGGTTATGTTTTCTTTTTCTGATATTAATTTCATACAATCATTGATAGTTTGCACAAAATTTCATAATTTAAATTTATCCCAAGCTCTCACTCTCTCTGTTTTCATAAGAGACGCGCTTTAATTGTTTACATGTCAAAGATCATTGACGAACGTAATAATTGGCTTCAATTATGGGGTACATGTACTACCATTATGTAAAGAAAGAACAAATACAGGTGTTTGATATCCTCCATTTAGATAAAACATTCAGATAATATATTAATTTTGAAATTAAATACATTAGATACATATTGATGTACAGTTTTTATTGCACTACGTACATGTTTACAATTCAGATATTCGTTGTACTAGATAATGGTGATAGCGTAGTTTAAATATTGTAAACTATAGTCTGTAAAAGACAAACAGTGAAACTGGTACGAAAAAATAATTAAAATTAAACAAATATTCGACTATCATTCGACTAAAGCATCCGACTATTCGACTAAGCTGTCCGAGTAAAATTGACATCCCTAAAGATAATTTAACCTTTCTTGTAGCAGTAATGACAGTTTTGAAAATGTAGTAGTAATAATATGTACCCAATTTATTACTGCTATAAAACATACAAAGATTTCACTCCTTAATGCATCCTTCTTTATGTGTTACATACTTTTCAACTTACCCCACAGCCCCTTTTCCAATGCTTTTGATAGCATTCTTAGGATTTTTTAAAATTTTGGAGAATCCATTAATGATGTCTTTTATGCTTTCATAAATTACTTTTCCTTGATGTGGAATTATAACTTTAATGGATTGCTCAACAGTCTGAAATGAAAAATAAATGAAAGTTTTATTTTGAGCATTATAATTACTTGTGATCCTCTCAACACACTGCACATACTAAGAGGCCAGCTGAGGCGTTCATGCTGAACTATATATATATATATATATATATATATATATATATATATATATATATATATATATATATATATATATATGTGCAGTCTAGATAACCATTCACTTAGCTTCTCCTAGAATTAAATCTTTGGACTCATCTGACTCTTGGTTCACTAAAATATTTATGAAGCTTGTTCCTTGATGATTAACTTTATTTTTAAAGTAAAATTATAACCCTGGTGCCATAGCCATGGGTAGGGGGATCTTACAGCTGATACAATGAATTGTTTACTTGCTAAATGTCCATGACTGAAAAAAATTTTTGAAGGTAAAACTGCATAAGGAGGTTTTGATACAGCCTCACTTGGGGAAATCATTTCGGGATGAATGAATTATGAAACAATCAAAGGAAAAGAATTTGTTTTTTTTTTTTTGGTCAAGTGTGAGCTTATCCATTACATAGTCACACTTTCTTACAGTAAGTGTGACTGGAAGATAATAAAATAATACTGTATAGTATTCTTAAAAAAAAAATTCTATAAACCTTAGATAATCCTTTGTTACAGCAAATGTGAATTTTTGAAAGTTCCTGTTTACAATAATTTTAAATCAGTACTTCAATTATTCTACTCACATTAACAAATCCCATAACATCTGTTCGGATATCATTAAACAGTTTTGAGACCTTGCGTACAAAATTGATGGCTGGTGTGAACTCTGGTGGAAGTTCATCAGGATCATATCTTCCCAACTGCTGCATTGCTGTCTCTGACTTTTGTACTAAATCAGCAACCTTCAATGTGTATCATGGAAAAGGTAATTGCATATATCCTTTGAAATTAATGTAAATTTTAAAACAAAATGTTAATTCATATGTGTTCCTTTTTGAAATGCACATTTAACCACTAGTGAAATGATTATTTTAATATACTAATCGTACATTTATTTCAATAAATAAAGCTATATGACCAAGAATTTATAACCACATTTCATTGTTTTGATGTGAAGTGAGCTATGTAAAATACCTTCTGAGGAATTTCAGTGATCGCTTTCACTAGATCATCAATGAGACTTTTGATAGTGATCCTTCCAGAAATTATATCCTTGAAGAGCTGAACTCCTCGTTTAATGCCGTTCACAATTGTCTTCAATTTCTCAGAGAAATTTAAGGCCAGATCAATTATTTTTTTCATCTCATTACCCTGCATTGAAAAGTTTTCATTAATATTAATGTACATGTATACTTTATGATTTACAATAAAATTCTGTTGACTTAAAAATTCTGCAGACAAGAAATAAGAGCCCCATGGGCCACAACACTCAAAGTGGCTCTGCTGTTCATTGCCATTTAGTAATACCTATTCTAGACCCATCTTATCCCCAGTGGATCATGATTTAAAATCTACATTACCCTAGGATTTTTTAAGGTAATTGTCAGCTTTTCTGGTCTAGTAGTTCTTGAGAAGAAACTTTTTTTTATACATGTATATTTCAAAGTAAAACTTGGATTCCCTATTGAGGCCCCTCCCTTCCCCTTGGGGCTCATGATTTGAACAATCAGGAATCTGCACTATCCTATGATGCTTTCAGACGAGTCTCAGCTTTTCTGGCCTATTGGTTTTTGAAAGTTGAAGATTTTTAAAGAATTTTCCTACCGGTATATTTTAATGTAAAACTTGGATTCCCTGTTGTAGCCCTGCCCTACTCACAGATGGCCACGTTTTGAACAATTTGGAATCTACACTATCCTAGGATATTTCCACATAAGTTTCAGCTTTTCTGGCCTAGTGGTTCTTGAAAAGATTTTTTAATAACCTCACCCTATTCAGGGCTCTCACACCACTTTTTGGGACGGGCTGGGGCCATTCAAATTGGGAAAATTATTGTCATTTTGAGAAAAGTTGGATAACCAACATTCATTAAAAAAAATCCTCAAATTTTGCTTTTCTAGCATTTTGTCATCAATTAAACTCTGATTTTGAATAAACAATTAAACAGAACAAACATATACAAGTCTTTTTCATAAACCATCTTTGAGTGTTGATATTCCGGTTATCTTGTCTTTCTGAGTGACAGTCGCTAGTAACAGTCCAGAATTTCCTCAATCACATGGACAACTTTGCTTACCAATACAGCACGAGACTGAACATACCGAAGCGATGGTATGTTTTTAGGTGCAGCTTACTAATCATAATATTTAAGTGAAATGTCTATTTTTGAAACCTAAATGATGTTTTTTGTCGAAACTACATGACAAGATACTCTGGACTCATAATACACATTTTTGTAAAAACAATGACCTGGTTCCCTGAACCAGTTTACAAATCTATTTGGCACAAACTAATAAAATAATTGTACAGTTTCACTTTCATTTGCAAGTGTGTTCTGTTTGGGTTTTTTTGGCAATTAAATTTCATGGATTTTTATTTCTTAATTATTCTGCTATGGAAATTGGGAAATTTACACCTTTCTTTTGGGAAAAAAGGTACCTTTTTTGCATTGGGAATGGGGCTGAATATCGGCCCCAGATTTAAAGAATCGAAAGCCCTGCTATTTTAGTATTTTCTTGACTATCTACCATTACAGGGTTGCTTGGCTTCTTTTTATACTTCCCTTGACCAAAGGATGCTTAGTACTAACTTTGGTTAAAATTGACCCAGTGGTTCTTAAGAAGTTGAATGTGTGAGAAGTTTATACAGGCAGACGACAGAAAACAAGTGATTAGAAATGCTCCATTGAGCAACATGTAGATAATAATTAAAAAGTTCATATTTGGTTTGAAACTGATAGATTATAAATAAGCACATTGTTTGAAATCTATACAAAATAATGTTAACTACCTGAAGAATATTTATGTTATATTCAGTGCCTCCTTTGAAACAGACTCTTGCAACAAAGAAATCATAGTTTGCTCCAATTATTCCCATGTGGACTCGAGCATATGCTTCATCATGGACATTTATTTTGAGATGACCCTGGGTTGGAGCTGAAAAGGGCATAAAGACATATTGAACCACAATGTCTAGTTACTTAATTATTATAAAATGTTCATAAGGAAATGAACTTGGTTAGTCAAGTTAACAGTTGATTTATTTCATCACATACTAACCAAGTTTATTTCCCAGTAAACCTTTAAACATTATTTTTTCATCTCTTAATGTATACATGTATTTATACATATGATTGATGGTGTCCTGTATATTTCATGGTGAGAAAATTTAATTTGATATAAAAAAAATTTAAAACTATAGCAATCAACATTCTTTAACAATTTATAGGCATGCAAGATTTTGCAGACTCAATCATGTTAAACAACTGTTTCCAATGTGGAAAAAAATCTTTTATGTTTATTAAATTTTCAAACTTGAAGATCCAATATCATTGGATTTGTACAAATAAACTAAATAAAATAGTCCCAGAATGTGTGTCATGTATACTGAATAATATTCTTACCAATGGCCAAATCTAAAAGATTTATCATGATTACTCCAAAGGATGCTCCAATATCTGTTGTGCCAACAATTTTTCTCCAGTCCACACTTGGTGCTTCCAGTTTAAATCTTATGCCATCCCACACACTCCTACGGGATCGATGATGAGCAGCATTTACATCCAAGATTTCTATTCCAGCATCATAGGGGTCTTCTATTAATGTTGTTGTATTTTCAGTCTTTTGCCTTCAAAATGAAAGACTATGTTGTACATGTAGCATAAAACCCAGAAAAAAGACTATTTTCACAAATACTACTGTAAAAGTAGAAAGTTTGACAATGTGAAAACAGAAGAACTTCTAATAATCATGAAAGTTTCCACTTGTCAAACTCCACATTCTAGTTAAAGGGGCTTGGACTAAGATTTGAGGTAAATATTTTATTTTAAATATTTTCAATATAATAACATGACTTATATGTTGCTAGAGACATTTCATACCAAACACGAAGTCTGTGAGCCAATGCTCAATAATAACATCCCCACGCTGATGTGAATATACACTATCAGTCGTTAATAAACATAAGTTCAGTTATGGATTGATGCACAGATAAATAGGAAGTTGACATCAGATTAAAGTAACAAGAGGCCCATGGGCCACATCGCTCACCTGAGAAGCTTTGACCATTCTGTTCTTTACCAGATTTCTTCCTTGTAATACATAATGCATCCCCACCCTACCAAATTTAGATATTTTGAAATCTACACTACCCCAGGATCCTTCCATGTGCACATAAGTTTCAGCTTTTCTGGCCCAGTGGTTCTTGAGAAGAAGACTTTCAAAGATTTTTCCTATTTATTTTTATGTAAAACTTTGATTCCCCATTGTGGCCCCACCCTTCCCCCGGGGGTCATAATTTGAATAATTTAGAATTTACACTACCCCAGGATGCTTCCACATAAGTTTCAGCTTTTCTGGCCCAGTGGTTCTTGAGAAGATTTTTTAATGACCCCACCCTATTTTTCTCTTTTCTTGATTATCTCCCCTTGTGAGAGGACTTGGCCCTTTATTTTAATAATTTAAATTTCCCTTTACCCAAAAATGCTTTGTACCAAGTTTGGTCAAAATTGGCCCAGTGGTTCTTGAGAAGAAGTCGAAAATGTGAAAAGTTTACAGACAGAGAGCTAGACAGACAGATGGACGGATGGACGACGGAAAAAATGTGATCAGAAAAGTTCACTTGAGCCTTCGGCTCAGGTGAGCTAAAAACTAGATATTATTGAGATGGTGGCCATCTCAAAGGGCCCCGCTTTTAGCAATGAACATGAAAGTATAACATAGCTGAAAAGGGTATATTTTGAAGGTGTTTGAGATTAAAGGGGACAAAAAGTATTACTCCCTGAAAAATGATACAATTAAACAAGAGGCCCATGGGCCTTATAGGTCACCTGAGAATTATTCAACAACTTTCCAGTGATTGAATTTGATCCATGTTTTAAGCCAGATGCTATAGCATTTACAATTTGGTCATCATAACTATACACTTAGCAGTTCCTTAGTTTGGTTACTTAATACCCATAGGCAGGGTAGGGGAACAAAAAATGCATTTCAACAAATCAGTAATATTCAGCAATAATGAGTAGTACCACTACCACACATGAACCCTGGACTCTTAGGCCTAGATCCACACATTGTACAATTTTTGGAAAGGCATTCATGCTTTTCAAAAATATTTGATTAATACAAAGGAGCACATTTCAAACAATTCATTCATTTTTAGTATATAAGTACAGCCCCCCACCCACCCACCCACCCCCCTCTATGGTACAACTATGGTGGGGCCTTAAAATTTACAATTCTTGAAGATTAGGGCCCTTGCTCATAACTATATAGGTAGTTCATCTGCTTAAAACCTAGGTACAAAGAAGAAAATATCCAAAGATTTAACGTTTTTTTTCACTATACTTGTATTATCAACATAGCCCCCTCCCCCTAACACCAGAACCCCTGACCCTGGGGCCATAATATTCACAATTTTGGTAGAGGCACTCTTGCTCATCATAACTCTGTACTTAGTTAGTTTATATAAAATCTAGGAGCAGAGAAGAAGATTTTCAAAGAATTCATGTTTTTTTACTATATAATCAATAGAGCCCCGCTGTAACACCAGAACCCCTGACCCTGGGGCCAAAAAATTCACAATTTGGTAGAGGCACTCTTGCTCATCATAACTATGTACTTAGTTAGTTTATTTAATTCCCAGGAGCAAAGAAGAAGATTTTCAAAGAATTCATGTATTTTCTCTACATTATCAATAGAGCCCCGCCCTAACACAAGAACCCCTGACCTTGGGGCCATAAAATTCACAATTTTGGTAAAGGCACTCTTGCTCATCATAACTTTGTACTTAGTTAGTTTATTTAATACCCAGAAGCAAAGAAGAAGATTTTCAAAGAATTCATGTTTTTTTCACTATACATGTATAATCAATATAGCCCTGCCCTAACACCAGAACCCCTGACCCTGGGGCCATAATATTCACAATTTTGGTAGAGGCACTCCTGCTCATCATAACTCTGTACTTAGTTAGTTTATATAAAATCTAGGAGCAGAGAAGAAGATTTTCAAAGAATTCATGTATTTTCACTGTATAATCAATAGAGCCCTGCCGTAACTCCAGAACCCCTGACCCTGGGGCCATTAAATTCACAATTTTGGTAGAGGCACTCTTGCTCATCATAACTATGTACTTAGTTAGTTTATTTAATACCCAGAAGCAAAGAAGAAGATTTTCAAAGAATTCATGTATTTTCACTATATAATAAATAGAGCCCTGCCCTAACACCAGAACCCCTGACCCTGGGGCCATAATATTCACAATTTTGGTAGAGGCACTCCTGTTCATCATAACTATGTACTTAGTTAGTTTATTTAATACCCAGGAGCAAAGAAGAAGATTTTCAAAGAATTCATGTATTTTCTCTATATAATCAATAGAGCCCTGCCCTAACACAAGAACCCCTGACCCTGGGGCCATAAAATTCACAATTTTGGTAGAGGCACTCTTGCTCATCATAACTATGTACTTAATTAGTTTATTTAATACCCAGGAGCAGAGAAGAAGATTTTCAAAGAAATAATGTATTTTCACTACATATACTTATTGAGCCCCACCCTAGCACAAGTACCCCTGACCCTGGGGCCATGAATTTCACAATTTTGGTAGAGGACTCAATGCTGATTACAATCATGCAAACAGTTTGACTGCTTGATGTCCAGAAGTAAAGAAGAAGATTTTTAAAGATTGCATTAATTTTAAAGTTTTGGCCCCACCCCCCAGGCCCCAGGGGGGCAGGGATCATGAAATTCAAAATTTGTGTTCCCCTTCACCCATAGATGCTTTGTGCCAAATTTGGTTGAAATTGGTTCAGTGGTTGCAGAGAAAAAGCTGAAAATGTTCAAATGTTAACACACGACGCACGACGATGGACGAAAACAAAACAGATGGCAATAGGTCACCTGAGTTTACTCAAGTGACCTAAAAACTTTAAGAAATGTATTCTCTATGAAAATTGTTGCATATCTTCAATCTTTGTTCAAGGCCACTGCACATTCACTGAACAAATTAAGGCACTCTGTGAGTAAAGTATGAGCAACATTGGACTAATAGGAGAGAAAATATGCTCTGAACAAGGATTTTCACATAATTCTGCTATAGTCTTAACCTTTAACCTAGAAACATGGTTCAAAGTCATTGCATACCCTTCACCCACCTCTATGAGTAAAATATGAGCCTAATTGGACTAAGGGGAGAGAAAATACTAGTTTGCTTCGAACAAGGATTTTTCATATAATTTTGCTATAACTTTAACCTTTGACCTAGAAACATGATTTAAGATCACTGCAAATCCTTTACCCAAAGGCACTCTGTGGGTGAAGTATGAGCCAGATTGGGCCAAGGAGGCAGAAGATATGCTCCAGACAAGAGATCTCGGACGGACAGACAGATGGACAGCTGGACAGACAGACAGACTGATCACTATAGGGTGCCCACGGAGCAGGGCCCTAATTAATCCCACCATATTGCAAAGTATGTTCTAAAATTTCAATCATCTGTAATGAGTAGTTGCTGAGAAAACTGACAAAAATCATTTTTATATATGGTACAGACAGAGGCACAGATAAACAGAACAAATAAGAATCCCACCATATGGAATGACGTAACAAAGAGTGTACAAATGTACTAAGAAAATGGGATGGAAAACATTTTTATGATTTTTAAATCTGAAAACAATAAATTTAACAGTAAAAATTAATTATCAAAATTTTATCAAAATCCCTTGGGCAGAAATAATTAGACTAGGCCTCGTTAAGTAATACAGTGGGTCCTGTTTAAACGGATAGTCAGGTTGTCAGAGTAGTTTTATCCGTATAGCCGAATATTGGAATAGCCGATTGCAATATTTGCCGTACAAACGGCAGATTTACAGTACATGTATATACAAACCTAGCATTCATAGGAGCAATCATTTTTCCTTTGGGATGAGCCATATAGAGAAGAGAGGCCTCATATCTGACTGACTGTTCCTCATCATACAGAGCTGCATACAATAGAGATTCTGCAGCCTGTAAAACATGCATGCATGCATTAATATATAGATCTAATCAATAGTGACAGCAAAGATAATACCTGTACATGTAACAACATCTTAAATACATGCCATCAAAGTAAGAACCAAACATCAAGTTTACCCAAATGAAATATGCCTTTTGTAAAAAAAAATTCCATAATACAAGAGACAATTTATTTGTAAAAGAAAATTATTGCACAATTAATCGTCAAATTTGCATGAATTAATTACATGGAATCACCTTCCCTGACTTCACATGCCAAAACAAAACATATAGACCTTAAAAATTTCTTTTTAGCATTTTTCATTTTCAAAGATGATTCTGTAAATTGCTCAAAATATCTAAAATAGATTTGTGGTTTAAGGGGCTAATGAAATAAAGATTTTAGCAAGCCTAAAATAGGATTAAATGAGTGAACAAAATTGAATGTGACAGTTAATTCAACAATTTTTACATCCTGATAGGCTGAAATGAACTGGGATGCCACTGTAAGCAAGCCTGAACCAACTTTTGCATTTACCTAACTTGGGAGCAAGCTAAAATCAACCATCTGAAAGATGAAGACTAGACCTAACAATTTTGCAAATACTACATGAATACTTTAAAAATTCATATTTAACCGTGACAATTTAAATGGGTGATTTCATGTAGGGAGAGGGCATTATAAGTTTTCAGAACTTTGTACTTAAATTTCAATGAAATATGTTAAAATTAATCTAAACATGAACTAAACAACTTTTTTTAACCATACAAAAATGTAAGCAAATAGATGCAAATAAAGAAAGCACCCATATCAGAAAATATTCATAATTATCGGATTCTTGGACAAAAGTCCGCTAAATATCAAAACCAAATCCTCACTGCATTTCAGCGATTCCAACATAAATTCTCATCAAGTCATATAGCAGAGATGAACATCTTAACAAAATATTGAAAGTACATCCCTCCAAAAAAACTTCAAACCTTTGAGAGCACACACACTTACCTGCAGTAATTTATTAACTTTTGCACATTTTGGTAAAATTTTGTTTGCTAATTAAATTGGAACATACATGTTCATGGTGGTATTTGCGTAGAGCAAGACATCCAGCCCTCTTTATCCATGGTGAGTTTGTGCTGTTGATATGAGATTGAATGTAGTCATAGGAATCATCTAGCCCTCCATTCCCTAGTGTATCCAGTAGGATCACTTTATGTTGGTCATATTCCTCCATCTCCTTCTTTGTCATCAAGGCTCTTTTTCTCCTATATTCCCATGGGTCTTTAAAATAATACTATCACTTTAAAATAATTCTAACATATATTGTCCAAAAAATTATGATGAAAGAAAATAGAAATCAAAAAAAAGCAAGAGGCCCATTGGCCACATCGCTCACTGAGAAGCTTTGACCATTCTGTTCTTAACCAGATTTCCCCCTGTGATACATACTGTGACCCCATCCTACCCCCCTAATCATAATTTAGACAATGTGCAATCTACACTACCATAGGATGCTTTGATTCCCCATTGTAAAATTTTGATTCCCCATTGTGGCCCCGCCTTACCCCCGGGGTCATGATTTGAACAATTTAGAATCTACACTACCCCAGGATGCTTCCACATAAGTTTCAGCTTTTCTGGCCCAGTTCTTCTTGAGAAGATTTTCAAAGATTTTTCCCATATATTTCTATGTAAAAATTTAATTCCCCATTGTGGCTCCACCCTACCTCTGGGGGTCATGATTTGAACAACTTAGAATACGTAGCATGCTTCCAAGTAAGTTTAATCTTTTCTGGTCCAGTGGTTCTTGAGTAGAAGATTTTGAAATCTATCCCAATACCAACTGTTCAAGCAAATTATATAAACAGTAATATAGAGATTAACATTGCAATTAACCTAGTAAATTCATTATTCCTGGTTACTCAATTTCTTCTTATACACCTATATTGAAACTTTTACCATTTTTCATTTGAAAGGCACATACATAGCCCAAATAAGACCAAACACCCTCTTATCTATTCTAAGAACCTTTGTTTCAAGTTCATTGAAACTTGGCCAATAGTTCTGGAAAGAGGTACAAAATGCAAAACAAATAGATAAAAAGGTAGGTAAAAAGCTTGTAACAATTTTTTAAGTTTTCAAAATTTCTTGGTCTTCGTGTTCATCTTAGATGACCCATCTTAAGTGAGCTTAAAAGTTTCACAAATAAATGGCAAAAACTTTGCAAACAGATGTATGAAAAGTAGATGTATTTAATATACTACCATGTAATCCAAGCAGAGAGTGAATCCTATTCATTATTCCTTTGGCTCTGGTCGAATGTCCCTTCTTCATTAACTTGTGACTCAATGACCCCAATGCTAACAAACAGCGACTGTATGTGTCCTTCTCGTAAAATTCAGAGGGAAACTTTTCTTTATGGAAAACAGCATCTTCTAGCACAGAGAGTAAATCCTATTTATGAAGATATGAAAAAATAAGAAGTATTTAATAATTACAAAAGGTGCAGTATGGGGAAGGTGGGTGGGATAACAAAAAAACACAGAGCATGTACATCCAGCTGAAGTTAAAACAAAGGAATGATGATGTTACATGAAATTTGATGCGGATTAGTTTGGGGGTCACGTGGCTACGGACCCCCCGGGATCTTCCTGTCCCTCGCACTATGCATTACCTAATATGGACATGAAAACTGGTACCTAAGACGGATAATCTCTCTAAAAATAGTTTCTTTGTCTAAGTGTCAAACAATGATTGTTATTACAAATTCCATTAGAATTACAACACTTTAACCAAAATTGCACTAAAATTCTTCTAAATGGATTCACCCAATGAATGTTAGATCAGTAGTTCAATAACTAACAAAATGTATAGGGGAAAAATTAGGTACACATGAAAAACTTGAAAGTTATGTATAAACAAAATTTTTTCTTACATAAAAAATATCATTTTATACATATAATAAGAGCAATTGAAATTTCCACATTTATTGAACAAAATCAAATCATAAGGAAAAAACAAAAACAATTTTATCATCCATTTCATTTACACAATACATCTTTGGCCTTCTCGGGGGCTACTCACATTATATAGAAAAAATAAAAATAACTTCCTGGGTTGACACCGTCAGGAATTTATAGCTAAAACTGTAACCATAGAAACCTGGGTTGACACCATCAGGTTGAGTATGAGGGTACCCGGGTTGACACCATCGGGTTCTAATGAATGGAACCTGGGTTGACACCGTCAGGCTTAAATTTTGAGATACTTGAGATAATTTCGAGATACCTGGGTTGACACCATCAGGTACATGAAAGGACCCGGGTTGACACCATCGGGTAGCTATAATTAATTATATAATGCAGAAAAATTTATCTGAAATTGGGGGAAAACAGGCCAAAATGAATGAACATCAAGTAGTAGTGGGTACTAAGCATTGATGTGAGTGAATGCCCCCAAGAAGATAAATGATGAAAAGGAAACATCTTAAAGTGAACACATTTTTGTTTGTGCAGACTGAATAGTATCTTGATTGATTCTGATATACCTTGCATAACAGTCTGAATTCCATCGACCTAATGACTGAATTAAATGATCTTGAATACCCACGGCAGCTGCTGCAGTGGCAGCTCCAATTCTAAACGAATGACCTGAGTACCTAGTATCGTCAAAACCTAACCTGGATAGGACTTGTTTCACATGTAGTAGGAAAAAATTTCTGGACATAGGATTACCCTCATCGTCAACAAATAGAGCAGCATGGTTTTGTGTGTGACAAATATTTAGTCGACTTTCAAAATACATTCTCATAGTTTTAACAGGATTTAAATGCGAATTCTCGAACACCTTAATATCAATCCCTTGTCGGAAAGGATCTGTCTTAGAGGAATTAAGTGTCAAAGTATAAAAAGAACCATCTTCTGCAAAAGTGACATTTTGTATGGTTAAATAATCTTGTTGCTTATGAAAATTTGTTGTAAATTGGTGTCAACCCGGGTCCTTTCATGTACCTGATGGTGTCAACCCAGGTATCTCGAAATTATCTCAAGTATCTCAAAATTTAAGCCTGACGGTGTCAACCCAGGTTCCATTCATTAGAACCCGATGGTGTCAACCCGGGTACCCTCATACTCAACCTGATGGTGTCAACCCAGGTTTCTATGGTTACAGTTTTAGCTATAAATTCCTGACGGTGTCAACCCAGGAAGTTATTTTTATTTTTTCTATATAATGTGAGTAGCCCCCGAGAAGGCCAAAGATGTATTGTGTAAATGAAATGGATGATAAAATTGTTTTTGTTTTTTCCTTATGATTTGATTTTGTTCAATAAATGTGGAAATTTCAATTGCTCTTATTATATGTATAAACAAATTACATATAATTCTTTAAGTTCAAATTGTTGAATTCATATGAAATTACAAAAGCTAGGGAAAATTCTGAAATGTGCAAATAAAGTGAGCCATAAATGTTTTTTTTACTATGATTCTATATGAAATATGAATGTATACTTGATCAAACTGTGATATTTTTTATTTTTAGTTTAATTTCATCATTTAATATGGATGTATTATAATATAGAATTAGCTAATACATGTTCTATCTTGCATATTACATGTAGTAACAGAAGAGATAGATCATATTTTTTCCATAAAATTATCATAAAAAGCTCAAGTGAGACTATATTGCTCAGGTGAGCTTTAAGTTTTTCTTTTCATTAGCTTAAACATTTGTGGGGAACACTTTATAGCTAGATATATTCTAAGATGTTTAAGTAAAGTTCTCCTAGATGCTGCATTGATCCAAACAAAAACAAGTCTCTGGATTAAAGAGATTAAGTAAACGGGTATTGACATAATACATAATTTTCAATTTTTACCTCCTGAGGAACATTGTCACTTGTTGCAACATGCATGATAAATCTTTCAACTAGTTTTGCATCTGGAGAAGGGTTCAATAAAATCATTTCTGTCAGCAAACTTTCAGATATTTCTGTGTTCATTGCACCAAAGGCATCAACCATATTTTCTACAGCTTCCCGATATTTGGAATTTCTTAAGTAAAATGTTACGTATTTAATATTAAAACAAAAAAACTTGGGAAAACAAAGATATATTATGATATTCATATAATCATAAATGTTGAATGATTTTTTTTTTATTAGTCAAAAACTACTTAATGACTCTCCTAATATAAAAACATGAGGCCCAAAGGCCACATCGCTCATCTGAGCACTTTGGCTAGTTCAGTATAACTATTTTATGAGCGGTATCAACCTATACCTAAAGGGAAGGGGCATGATTTGAAGAAACATGAGTCTACTCTGAGTATGTTACCTGCATATTTCGTTGACCAATCAAGGCTTTAGAAGTTTTGAAAAAAGATTTTTTCCTATCAGCTTTATCTTCTATTGTGGCCTCACATCACTACTGGAGGTCAAGATCTGAACAAACTTGAATCTATATTACATAAGGTTGCATTCATATATATGACCATTTATGGCTTAGTGGTTCTTGAGGAAAGATACATGCATTAAAGATATTTTCTATGCATTCCTAGTATGTAAATCTTTGATCATCTATTGTGGCTTCTATATATACCGGGTGTCATGATTTGAACAAATTTGAATCTATATTACCTAAGGATGTTTCCATAAAAATTGACTTATCAGGGCTTTGCTGCTTTTGTGAGTAAGACTTTTTAAAAAATTTCCTTTGTATTCCTCTGTAAAACTTTGATCATCCATTGTGACTCCAACCAACCCCAAGGGTCATGATTTGAACACTAAATTTGACCTACACTTCCTGACAATGTTTCCATACAAGTTTCAATTTTCTTGACTCAGTGGTTCTGATTTGAACAAAATTGGACCTTATACTTCCTGACAATGTCTCCACGCAAGTTTAAATTTTCTTGGCCCAATGGTTCTGTAGAAGAATATTTTTACAAGATGCCATTCATTTTTTTTACTAATTCATAATTATCTCCCCTTGGAAGAGGCCAAGACCCTTCATTTGAACAACATGAATTCCATTCACCCAAGGATACTTTGTGGCAAGTTTGGTTGAAATTGGTCCAGTAGTTATTGTGAAGAATATGAAAATGTGAAAAAGTGCGAAAAACAGTGGACAAAATTTGATAAGGAAAGCTCATTTGAGTTAAAAATGAGATAATATTGGTTCAAGATTGTAGTGGCTGCATGTAACTTAGAGCTAGGATCATAGCAGCTTGCCTAGCAATTAAAAGCAGCTCTAGCCTTGTTTCCAGGCTTTAGATATAGCTGATATGATCTTGAACCAACCCGGTCTAGCTTATATAATCTGCATGCATGTTTATAACTCAGTGTCTAAAGTAGCTAGAACTTGATGTAAAGTGTAATTAAGAAATATATCTACTTTTTAGTATATATTCGATATTCAATTTGGTAGATTAGAAACTCACCTTGCATTAATCTTGTTGAAATAAAAATTAGCAACTTTCTGTAATTCCCCTTCTGGCAATTCTAGTAGTTGATTCACAATATTTCTAAAACATGTGATTAAAGCAGGTGATCCTAGAACAAAATGAAAAGATGAAAACAAACCCCCTTCCAACTCTGCTATAGAAGATAAAAATATAGTGTTGGTATATCAATATAAATCCTAATTGACTCATTGAACTTTTAAAACCAGGTGAATCACAAATCTTGACAGCTTTGTCTCCCTTTCACCATCTTTTACCTGCATGCCTTTTAATAAAATGATGCATATGACTGACAGACTGAGGGCCAGATAGACAGTCACACTGAATAATATAGCTATTTTTTAAATACCTTCCTCGGGCTGGTTTTCCATACAGGTAAGATTACCCACAATAAACATCCTGGCCTCTGTCACGTTGAAATTTTTTATTTTGTGCTTCACCTATCAAAGATGAAGCATATATATGTTTGCAAAACATTTAACAAAACATTCAAAGTAAATACATGGTATGTCACAATGGACATATTTCTCGAAAAATGACATAATTGTACCCACATAAGTATTAGCAAATGAAAACTTGTCTCATTTGCATGCTGTGCTTTAGAATTATTTTTTTATACCTTGGAATGAAGTTAAATTTTAAAATTTAATCCGAATACTACCCTGAAATACCCAGCTCATATTTCTAAATGTAACAGTGATTGAAAATTTACTTGGAAACATTAAGGACGCTCTAAACACTGCACACTAAAGAGCTTTATTAATTGGGTAGTTTTATGCAGTTAGAGTGATCTGCCCTTAGATGAAAGATTAAAGAAATTGTTATTCGCCATTAATTTAATAATTTGTAATAGATTAAAATACTTAAAACTTTATATAAGTCCAAGAGTAAGAAATTTAATTAATCATTTTCACTAATTTTCCCAATGTAAGTAAACAACAGTGATTTCTGCTTACAAATAGTCCATTGTCTTTGAACAGTTTTTCCGAGCAAATAAGGCGCGTACCCTATGTTCTAAATGAATGAAAAAGTCTCAATATGCATATCTTTATATGATATATTTTTCTCTGAGTCCAAAAAACAGTTTCTGTTAGTGTTTAGAGCTTCCTTAAACAGTCTTGTTCTATGACACCCCAAAGACCTTCATAAGAATCTATGTAACTTGATTAGTAAATTAGAATTCCCATACAATTCTCGGAGATCATAAAGAATGTAAAGAACTATATGCGGTATATTGCATATATTTGCCCCCACAAAAGTCAAATTTTGAAAACTTCCTGAAATGTGCTGAAATCAATAAATTGTATGAGAAATATAAATAACAGAAAATATTACAGTGTCAAAGCAGTGTATTCACAATTTTTGTTTTATAAATGACGTCACAAACTAGTCCGTTTTTATATCCTTTTCCAGAAAAAGGACAAGATGGACAAAATTTCAACAATTTTAGCTTTAAAATTTATAGAGCGCAAGTTTGTTCAGGAACAATATTGACATATTTCATTGATATTATCATTCTTCACATTATATCAAAATATTGATCCTGAACACACATGCACTCGGTGACTTTTACTCAAAATATAGACGAAATATGTACATTTTTCTGTAAAATTCATAAAAAACTTAAATTTACGTCATGTTTGTGACATCATTACGTATACATATAGCGTCAAAATATTCAGTGCTTTGAAGTCAGCATATACTCCCCTGTTTAAGAAATTAATTAAATATATCTCCATCAAAGTTTGATTTTGGGGGCAAATATTGGTTATTACCGAATAAAGTTCTTTCTTTTAAACCGAAACTTACATTTCCTAACTGAATATTGGTCAATAGGAGGCTTTTGTTGGCCTTTGTCCATTCCTTGTTGTCTACATGTCTAGTAAGAAATACAAGTTTCCCTTGGCTGACATAAGACATCTCAGGATAAGCTAGCAAAATGCAAATGCATGGCAATATTTAATGACCATCATGGCACAAAATACTTATAAAAAATTGATGCAATCGAATATTTCTTAATAAATACATGTATGTATCGGCATATGAAGTTTGATACAAATATCTTGACTACTAGTATTAATTTTCTTTGAAACTGTTAATTTAGATCAATTTAATTGCTTGCATCTGCAATAATTGAGGTAAAGACCAAAATAAACCTTATATTGAAGAGGAAAAACAAAAAAATGATATACAATTCAATAACTTACCAACAGTGCTGAATTCATTGACTGGTTTAACCTTTCTCATGCCATAATGAGGATCAAATCTACCAAATATGGAATGTGTTATATTATAACATCTACTTCTATACTATAAAAATAAGTTAAAGCTATATGCTATAAGTAAGAGGAGTAATATTACAATTAATGTACATATTAAAGCCTTAAAAAATGTCTATGATCTAAAACTAACTACTGCTGTTTAATTTAAAACTGTGCTTTAACCTAATTACTAAATCAGTCTATTAATATATAATATGGTTATTGGTTCTGGATCATACATGCTGCCCAATATTTACTTATTTTAACAATTTCAAAGAATCTGTGAGTAATCATCTTGTTACCTTGTTGAAATTATACATATCAATTAAATTGTTAACTCACATCACTTCCTATTTTTCATTTTTTTTTTTTTTATTAATTTCATAGCATATATTATATACTGTGATGTTTTCTAAATTTGTATCAATCTGAATGAAATTTTGTTCTTTTTTTAGTTACCATAGCAATATCATAAACATGAAATAAAAAATGCACGAGTTTACAGACGTATGTACCAAGCTTTCTCCAAATCAGACAAAAACTGAAGGAGGAGTAGCATTTTGAAAGATTTTTTCACAAATTTCTACTTTATGTAACTATGGTGACCAAGACAACATTGTCTGATGTACAGAATAAATGTATATTAATTCCTTATCTTTTTAGAGTACTTATTATCGCAAAATGCATGCACTTTAACGTCACACATTAATTTGCATGTGGACGATTGATAAGAGAATTTTCATTGCATGATTTCAGCACCATAAAAATAAAAGCAAATTTTTTTTGCGATAGGTTCTTCTTATGCAATTATGCAATAATTAATTACTTGCATACATTTAAGAATTTACAGTACTCATTAAAATTGTAGAAATTGTAGCATTTTGAAGAAGAGGCCAATCTAACAGACTTATTACTACATGTATAAAGCATAAGCTCTTCAAGTCTTTTACTTGTAGATTTGAAAAAAAAACAGGGCCTTTATTATATATATATATATATAAAACACATATTTGTGGACAAAAAGGTTGTATTTTGTAGGCAATTGAGAAGTTGATTTTTATTTCATGTTAAGGAAGGCCCACACTTTTACGGATCCGGTTCTTATTTTACACATCAACATACATGCCAACTTTTGAAAATTCCCATGGGGGATTTAGCGCGTGACGACAATTTTCAAAGCTTTAAATTCGCGACATTTTGTCGTGAAATTAAATGATTATGAAATGATTTTTTTTTATTTATAATATTGATATCACTTATCAATAAAACTCAAGGATTAATTTACCACAAAAAATGTTTTTCTTTCCAAAATTGAAATATTTTTGCTAAAATACTGGTGCCTCTCTCACTAAAGAAGGGGTATTTAGTTATACATATATAAACAACTTTTTTTCTACCAGGACAGAATTTAGTGAAAAATTGAAAATTGTACAACTTTAAAATCATTTTTTTCAAAGGCTAAAATTATAAATGAGGTGTTGATACTGTAAAGTCCTGTTTCTAGAAACATTTTTTATTTATATTTCAATTAATTAGAAATTCTAATAAGATATTAAATTTACAGAAATTTATACCACCTATCCAAAACAGAATTATTTTTTTTTTACAGTCATGAAATTTGTCAGGCTTGATGGTGCCATGTGGGTATTTCCTTAAGTCATGCACATAGATCTACCTAACATATTACTTTTGGGAGAAGGGAGGGAAAAGAAATTCTAATTGACATACACTTGATTGTTTCATCTTAATTTTTTAATAATATTTTAACTGGCAAACTTTACAATATTTTTCATTATAGGTAGATAAAATCAGCAGCTATGCTTTATTAGTTTTCTACTTTCGTTTTCAAAAAACGATCTCTTTGGATTCCGTTTTTATTGTTTGATTTGCATTTTATTGTCTTTAATTTATATTTTTAATAAAATGACAAACAACTATCTTGTTAATCTATGTGTTTCACCTTGCATACCCTTTAAAACTAACAAGATAATCCCCTAATTGCCTCAAGCTATAAGCTTCTTGCTCCAGTGGACAACTTTGTGCGTTCAAGCGTGAAGTGATTTCCTGTGTCTAGGCCTAATTAACATCTGGTTAAACGTTAAATAAACAATGAAACTTATCTGTGTGCATTGAATAAACAAGTCTGACATTGTTATCCCGATTGTCAAAATTCAGCGGTAGGGAATTACTTTTAAAATCGGAAATTTTGGTGATTTTTTTTTTCAAATCGGGAAATAAGGGCAATTTTGCTTTCCCGATCGGGAAGGCGGGATGAAAGGGTAAAATCGGGAGGATCCCGCCTAAATCGGGAAAGTTGGCATGTATGCATCAATATAAAAATCTGATTTTCACTTGTCTATTGATACAAAATCTTTTTGGGTGATTGAAAATGATTTAGCAAGTATATATTTGTTTATTTTAGTGTTATTGTGCATATGAAGGATTTAAAATACATTATTTATGGATTTAACACTTTGCACTCTGTCCATAAGATCTATATGTAACTTAGTACATACACAGACACAAAATTCTTAATTGCTATTATGGACCTAAATCTTTCTAATTTTCTTTTAAGCAAACTAACCTGAAATCTATTTTGATTGATTTAGAGCCTATACCATCCATTTAAGTTTTACTTTTTAAAATTTTTGCAATAAATAATTGAAAAAAATGATATTCTAAAAATGGGGGTGTACGAATTCAAAAGAATATTTTATTAAAATTCTCCGGTCAACCATAATAAAGTATGTGTTTTTGTTAACATTAGATATAATTCTTAATAGTTTTAAAGAAAAAATAGCATCTAAACAGTCTGGATTCTGAGAATTATAAAAAATAAAGATATTTTGAGATTTTTTCTATGAAAGACATGGACAGATTCAACATCAATTTGTTAATGTTTTGCAGTAAAGATTTCAAATATTCTCTTGGCAAATGAATATTTTTGATCTTCATAAGTTTTAACATAAATTTTACGTGATTTGGTGCATAACTAAGAGAAATATGATATCACACTTTTTAATGTCCAAATTTGGCTGTTGAGTTTTTAGAGGTATGTGCTCTGAGACATGTTGTATGAAAATTAACCTGCAAAGACGTGTCTTTTATGAGTGTTTTAGTTAGTTTAAGATTTATTCAAGGTATTCAAATTGAAAAATTATCAGTTTGACAGAAAATTCTGAAAGTACGGACCTACCTTAAATGTTTACCTATAAAGATACTATTTGTTTGCAAAGTGTTTTTTTTTAGTCTTTTCTGACCCCATTATTGGTACAATTTTATTATTTTTCAGTTTTTAATTGCATGTCCCGACATTTTTTCAATTCCACACTGTGTTACTGGTTCTTCTTGTCTTAATTGTTAAAAAAACAAGCTTAGTCAACTTTGCAAGATATTTCAGAACTGCAATCTTTGGAACATTTTTAAAACAACAAAATTTTACTATTCTTTAGAAAAATACATAATGCTTTCCACATGTATGATCAAACTTCAAAAATGTGTGATCAATTAAATACACCAATATGCATGACTATTACTGTACTATTTCAAATATGTCAGATGAAGCATAAACAATTTTTCTCTAGATTTATTCATTCATTCTCTGGAATTACCAGTTAACTTTGATAAAATGTGACACTTGAGATACCATATTTCTTAAACAGAATCATAGCTTTTAATTATTTATATATACAGGTACAATAATGTGGAAAACTATTTAACAGAGTGCAATTTGATCTATTATGAGTTCCCTTAATTTCTATAGAAAAATTCTTAAAATTTTACATACCCTGCTGGTGTTTTAGGCGAAGTGAAATCTTCTTCTATCAGAACGCTGTGAATGGTTCCTAGAAATTCATGGTAATGAAGTGTCTAAAATAAAGTTTCAATCAGATGTTAAATTTTGAACATTAGGCTTCATCAATCAAAATTGCTACAATCAGCAAAAATACTTCATAACTTCTCGTTGTAAAAAAGTACTGGTATAAGAACTGTTATTACATGTATATGACAACTCAATTTTTCAACATTATGAGCAAGGGACATAATTGTATTAAAAAAGCAAATTTTACAACTCAAGTATGCTGATACAGTGTCCACATCAGTTAAATTAAAAGTTATTTGGAAAATTATTTTTAAAGCACAGGGACCTTAAGTTTTTTTTCTCCAAAAGATGCTTCTCATGGTAAATAGCATTTGTCATATTTTTATACATTTTTTTTTTATTTTGAGCACAGAGTATGATATTACTTGTATATTTGACAAAGATTTTTTCAATTCAGTTTATTTCTAAGATAGTTTTCAGAAAAGTCCATTAAATAACTGAAATTATGAAATTATCAACTTCCTTACCATTGACAGAATTAAGACATGTCAGGTAATATACTGTATAATACCCATTAACCGCCCCTACACCTATAAGCGCCCCCTGAGGTCTTTTTCTAATGTCAGGAAATAAGGGCCCCCTGTAAGTGATTAAAATCAACCTGAATCTGTAAAAAAAATGAAGAAAGTGAAAATGAAATTTGTCTATCATCCAATATCTTAGTGGAAAATGAACAATTTAGCATAATTTGGGTGGATTATCTTCACTTTAAACATAGTTAGACATTATCTTAGTTGTTTCTTGTATTTTTTTTATTTTCAAACGATTTTTTGAAGTTAAAATATGACATTAAATATCATAAAGAGAACACCAAAATAACCGCCACCTTTTTTGCAATTTTCTAAGCGCCCGGGGTGGTTAATAGGGATTATACAGTAGTACTTTAATTTATTATTCTAAAGGTTGATTCCAAAGACTTCCAGTGTGCTAATGGAGACAATTATCTTGAAAAATGTGTCATGTTTATTACATAAATAATTCATTTTCCAAAAAAAAAGAAATCATGATAAAGTTTGAAAACCTTTAGGTAAGCTGATCTGGCGTTCTGCACAGGATGGTTGTGCCTTGCTTTCTTAAACTGTAGGCCATCTTTTGTTGGAGACACCAAGTATGTTGCAGTGTGCTCTCCTGAAAATAATTACATCCAATGAATGCAAAGTGCCTACTGTCTAACCATTTCTCAAACTTCAGAAATAAATTCTTTTAATATTTCACAATTTTAGTTTTGTGAATGAGGTGAATTAGGATATAATTTTAAGACAAACACAATAAAAACCAGATATAGATGACGAAAACCAGATATAGATATTGGACTTTTTTCCTCGATCCCTTTTGAGACTTCCACTTTCTGATGAATCCCTGACTTTTATTAGAAAGTCCAAACAAATACATGTACATCCAACATTTACAGTAATTTATTAATATTTCAAATAAGTAAATGCTTTCATTTTTATACCTTTATTCATAATTCTTAATAGATTAAATTTGTGATATATCAATTATATACCAACCCTCACTTCCATCCTCAGTCACATTGTACGTAAAACCTTCTTTGGTATTTACACCTGGTACCTGAAAAGGGTTTTTAAACTTGTTTTAATTTGAAATCAAATTTCGTATATATATTCGATTATTTTGAATTTTAATCAGAAATTTGTTGGAATCTGTATATATTAGTACAATGATGCAATATAATATTCAAATCAAATACAGTGTACATGTATATTTGAAATCTGAAATACATGTATAACATTCATTTATGTGAATCAATTCTTCTCCAAGCTTATGAGTGTGTGTTTGTGTTTGTGTGTGTGTGTGGGGGGGTATTCATGACTTTGCTGTTCTAAAGCAGATGAATTTTAAAGATTTTTCCTATGTGTAAAACTCTGATCTCTCATCGTGACCCTACCCAATCAACACTAGATTTGAACAAATCTGAATCTACAGTAACTGTTACACAATCTGAGTATACTTCTATAACAATATGATTAATCATGGCTTTGCTGTTCTTAAGCAGAGATTTTTTTTTTTTTTAAAAAGATGATTCATATATTTATATATATTTGTATGTAAAATTTTACCCTCCTTTGAGCTCGAGCCCCCTTAACCTCTGGAGCATAATTTGAACAAACATGATTCATCTACCAAAGACACTTTGTGCGTCTTCTAAATAATTAGTAGGAGAATATACAAATTGAATCAATATGGAATACATGTACATGAATTGCTGAAGTTTTCCGCAGGAAAGTAATACACATGTATTAAAAGAAGATTATACATGTACACTCTTTGATCCTCTCTCATGTATATCTTCCACTATATTTTTAGGGTTATTTATACCCTGTGCTATTCTCACCTTCCACACAGAATATTTCTGCACCATGATTTTAAGTTAACCCATGCATACACAGTTTTGTTTATGGAATTATGCTGTCTTCTTTGAATTAACCATTTTACAAAAAGGGCAAAAGAAAAGTAAGGGCAAAATTTTCCCTGTATGCATTAGTTCTCATTTAAGAAGAAAAAAGCCATAATTTCCATAATACTAGTAAACATGATAGGAATATAATTATGGATTTTTATATACCTCTCCCTCTTCATGCAGTCTTGAGGCAAATAATGATGCAAGGCCTTTCTTCGTAGCAACAACTTCTTCATCTTCTCCCTCTGGGTGATAAACTCTGGATATAGTTCCCCTCGTTGTTATTTCAAATGAGAACCTTTTAAGGTAGAATGGGATATCTCCATGTTATGACGTACTTCCGTTTGAAATATTGTTTTGATTTGCATGAGCGCTTATTATCGGGTCAAAAATTGTAGATACACCGTTTAAAAGAACAAACTGTAGCTAATTCAATGCAAGTTCTCATAACTCGGCATTTTAGCTAAAATAGACAAAAAAGTATATAAATATACTTTTAATTGTACTATGGACATTTAAAAAGCAAACTCTGTAAATCATATAGTTTAAACATTGCAGCTTTTGAACACTATTAATGAAAAGCTGTCTTTCAATTGTTTAACTGTCCACTACCCAAGGTGCGCGATGAGGCATGGATAAGTATGAGGATTTCTCATTGTGCTTCATAATTACCAATCAATTATCACGTTAACCAGGGCTGGTCTTCTTTGTTATTTAATTCAAGAAGTAACTGTTTGGTCACAAATCAGCTAGCTGTTGGATATAGTCCGAATACTTTTAAATGAATGTAATGGCTCGATCTGAATGAGACACGTTTTGAAAGCGATTGTCCAGGCATTGTCTTCAAAACAGTTCCAAGTTAAAAACTACCAATGAAAGAAAGTGCGATTTTTTATATCGGTGATAAAATGCTGAATGATTTCTTAAATAGCACCCAGATTTTTTCAACCCCTGGAAAATAAAGAAAGATAACTCTTCCGTTCGGATCTTTTAATCCAAAAATATTTAAATGCATCTGATATTTTCCATTTAAATATATTTTTTCAATTTCTTTATTTCAATTTGCCGACATATTAACATACATTCTTATTGTAGATTTTCATGCAATTTTATCCGTCTGTTTTCAAGAAATGAAGTTTTCCCAGTTTTTTAAGCTTATTATTTTTTTTAATTAAAAAAAATACGAAGACATATTTCTTGTCATTTTTGTTTTTTATATACACTTGATATTAGAAAACTCCTGCCTATAATATTAAGCTTTTGATATAAGAATTATATGATAAAAAATCAGTTTTGTATTTCTCATTAAAATAATAAAAAAATTATTAAAATTATGATTTAACATACTGACATACTAACATTTCAAATCCTCCTAATTTGGGTAAATGAATATATAGGAGAAATTTCGTTTGGTATCCCATACCACCTTAAAAAAAATTTCTTTTAGTCAGAATTTTTTAAACTTAAAAACATGATTGACACTGCCCAACCAATTTACTGGTATATATTCTTAAGACTCCAAATTGCCATGGCCACGCCAAAGTGTGATGGCCGGTTTCGTTAAGTTACGATAGTCTGTGCCAATCCCCGGGGATCCCGATGGCTAGCTCACTATCTTTACTGACACCAAAGTCTCATGGTCAGGCCAAAGTCCAATGGCTTGTTTCCAATGAGACACAATGCGATGGTCTGATACGCCAGTCTGATGCAGTGGAGGAACAATCAAGTTTATGGCATCACAACAGTCCGAAGTCAATCCTTGACACCACTGTCCCCCATTCAAAAGCCATGAATTAAGCATTCATCCTTGCCCATCCTTTTACTGATTTTCCTTATTACTTGTATCCATGCACCTGTGAAAGATACCGGGTAATATTCCTCGACTGGTTTAGTCCTTGAACCCTATTGGACTGATAATTTATGTGTTACTTAGCACCCATTTGAGAGATTTAAGGTTATTTTTTATGCACACTATTCAACTGAGATGGGTTAGTCCAGCACCCAACAAAGATATTCAGGCTACAGTTGTTACACATTTTTAGACTGATAAAAGTTAGTCTGACTCTCGCACCTATCAAAAAGATGAAGGTTAGTTTTTGCAATTAATATTTATTTTCAATTATTTTAAATAAACCATCAGACCTTGGCATCACGAGGCATTGTATTTTTGTGCAGCAGTAGTATGACATCATAAATGTTCATTGTTTTACGCTAAATCAGACTTTGGAATGTCAACCCATCGGGATTTGGCTCAGACCTGAGACCATTGGACTTTAGAGTTCCATCTCACTTTTGAGTCCTACATATTTACAAGAGATGAAAAAGGAAATAGGCCTAACGTTACATGTACATCTTCGGAAACCCACGGCTGATTAGTGATTACGCTTTGTTCCTCTCTCCATCACAATATATTTTCTATATATATATAATAAATACCATTTAAAGACTCATTGCCATTGGCAGCCAGTTAAAGACAAACCAAACTTAATGTCAAAATCACATTGCTTCTATTACTCACAAACATCGATAAAAAAAAATGAAAATTTAACATCATCATGATCATTGATTAATCCGATTCTCACTTCGATACAGGACTTCAGAGATTTTTATTAAAATGCACAAAATGAAAACAAATCTTTACAATCTTATTCAATGCATATTTTATAAATGACCCACAGAAACTGTTGCTAACTTGTGAGTTAACTGTTCACAGTGTTTGGTATTTAACTCCGTTTGCAAGTAAAATCAACACAGTAAAATGCCGCCTGTGGCAAATGAATTCCCCGTTTTCGTTATTAACTTTCATAATCATAGTTTGTATTTGTGACATACTACTAAAGAACAACATCTATAAAACCTGCATAACAAAATTCGTTGTTATCCTCTTTGAATTCATTAAAATTTTAGCTCTTCGTGTTCTCACCGACTCACGGTTTGTCTTTCCCACCAGACGACAGATTAAAATTATTTTACAGCTTCTCGATCCCGATCAATTTTCCTTTGTGAAGTAGTCGAGCATGCCAATCGTCGCAAACCGATCCAGGCCATTCCAGTGCGGACTATTATGTTCAATCTTGGCTTCAGACGATGGAACCAGGCTAACTTTCCCCAAACTAGACACGAATGTGCAAAGCATGCGCGAATCTAAGGGAAGGCCCTAATGGGATACGGACCCCCTTGGAATTTGCCGAGTTAATTTTAAAATGATCACTAAAATTGGTTTATTCCCACTCAGGATCCTAGGATTAAAGCAATTATTATTCTTTAAATACTCTTTTTTACTTATTCTAATGAAGAAAAAAAAACAGATACTATACATCACTTTATTAAGTATGGCAAACGTGCAAGTACGGGTGGATTTCCTGGAGAATGGCAGGGGAGGTTTCTTCCTTCTTCATGGTGGTTTCAAGTATTCCATGAGAACAAGATACAACGACGGAACCTACTTGAGATGTATTGACAGACAGTGTCCAGCTTCATTAACAACATCTGAAAACATCGTGGTGAAGTTTGGCAGACCACACAACCATGAGGACAACTACATTGGACTAGCAGCCGAATCCTTCATCAGTGGTGTAAAGAAGAGGTGCAGAAAGGAGGCAACACCAATTCCCACCATCTATGATGAAGAGTTAGGAGGTTTGCGCAACACCCCTTGGTTCCAGAACAGCGAATGGAAGATGTGTGGTTTGAGGCACTAGAGGACAATGAAGACGATAAGGGGACGACCATTTGATCCTGAGGGGGGGGGGAGCCTGGCAAATTTTTTTGGGACGGATTATTCATTTTCATGCCTGTCGAGGACAGATTATTTATTTTCAAGATTATCAAGGACAGATTATTTATTTTCTTCTTTGTCTTCCCGTAACGTGATCAATTGATTCTAAAAGACTAATCATTTATATACCATAGGCAGATACAGAATTTGGGGAGGGGCGTGTATAACTTTGTTTAGGCAAGAGGTCTGGGGCCGCCGTAAGGTCACCATGTCCTTGGCGAAGCCTGGTGGAGGCCAAGGGAGTAACAACCCCCCCCCCCCCCCGAAGCTTTTGGGTTGTATTTTAAGAGTAAAACCAGGCACTATTATAGTGGTATTATACCATACTTTGAATGAAGGGGGTTCAGGGGGCTTCGCCCCCTGAAGCTCTTTGGTTTTTTCTGTATGTAAAAGAGTAAAACCAGACACAATTGTATAGGAATTGGTTAGATATGTACCAAAGTATGACATTAATAATACTAGTCATATCATACTTTGAATGAAAAGGGCCGAGGGGGCAAAGCTCCAAAGCCACCTGAAGCTCTTGGGTTTTTTTGTAATCTGATTTTAAATACTATTTGGTTCTAAAATGGCGAGCGAAGCGAGCCAAAAATTTTTTTTGAATTGAAGACTTTTGAGATTAAATTACACGCAAAGAAAAAAGGTATTTTTCACAATATTTAAATATCATAAGTCAAGGTCAGATTATTTATTTTCTCTGTAGTGGAGGAAAGATTATTTATTTTCAATATTTTCAGGGACAGATTATTTATTTCCAAAATCTGCCAGGCCCCCCCCCCCTCAGAATCAAATGGTCGTCCCCTAACCAAGATGTCGGACATTTCAAAGACTATGTGACCGAGACTTGGGTTGAAGACCAAGGACAACAAATGCAGTGGAAGGATGGCATCACAAGTTCAACCGGATGTGTCGCCGCCCCCATCCAAACTTGTTCATGTTTGTTCAATTAATTCAGAAGGAGCAGGCAGCCAATGAAGCCAAGATGATTCAGTTTGCTGCTGGTGGTGTTGTCCGTCCCAAGAAAAGGAAATATCGACAATTGGACCGGCGCATCCAGGACCTGAAGGACAGACTACGCCGAGGAGATATCCAGATAATGGACTACGCAGATGCTGCCTCTCATCTACTGCATTTGGAGTGATGTGTCTTTGAGTGTTTATGACTGTATGGAACTCTACATGTTGATAATTATGCTATTTTTGCCATAAATGTATTAGTTACTTGAATATTTTTATAGTGACTGTTATGATATTTTTTATGTATGAATTTAACTATTTGATATGACCATTATTTATCAAAATGACTACTAGTATATTTATGTAAGAATGGCTACTTCTGCATGCCTGTTAATGTAACTTAATTTAAAGTGTCAGTGTGATGTTTTGTGTTTTTTCATTTGTGACACGAAAAAGAATTAAAATAAATATCTTGAAAATAAAATATGCGTCTTTATGTATTAATTTATTTAACTCAATAAAAAAACCTGAGAATTTAAAAAAAAAGAAACAATAAAAAAAAAC